TTTTGGGATTTGTACCCATTTGATTTTCACCCGAACAGTGATCATATCTAGTTTGAGAACGGAGGTGGAGGCAGTCTCTGCTGCCTTCCGCTAGCTTCAGAATCAGCTGTACACACACACCGTGATTGTAACTGACTTGCAGAGCATGTTGAGAAAACAGGCATCCTTCCTCCAGAGTGGCAAGCATCACTTCAGAGGACCCGGGTGGTTAGCACCTTTTGGATATTGTGATGACCCTGCTTTGCATGGTCTCCACGAGTACATTGTGGCAAGCAGGAAGTCCGTGCTACAAGTGACGGCACGAGATACTTGTGGCCGGTAGAGTAAGCGAGGCGAAGCCCGAGCTAGCCTCGTGGTCAGTCGATCATCAGAAGTCAGTGAAGACGGTTGTAGTAATTGAAGATGTAGTTTTTATGTTGTGATTGGTTAGTGTTCGAATATGTCGCGAGTGAAATAAATGTGAAATAAATGGACCAGAATAAACTGACAGAATGTACAATGAAGCTGAGTGGCGTTTGTATTGTCAACCCTAGACGTTGAAGCCGGTGTAAACCAAGGTTCTTTCCAAGCCGAACCAAGGTTCATTTCAAGTAGACCACGATTCATTCCAAGTCAAACATCGACTCATTCCAAGTTGAATCAGAATCATTTCAAGATAGTTGAAAGCGTAACTTCAAGTATACGTTTTGATTCATTACAGATATTTTCTCCAGGTCATGCTGGTGTGTTGGGAAATGAGCAAATGAATGGACTGGCTGGCTCTGCGCCACTTAGTGGTGAACTGATGTATGACAAGTTAGAAATTGTGAGGGTCCTTTAGGAGCGAGATAGTGCGGAGGCACAGACAGATCATTACAGTCTGAGGAGAGTAGCACTGTGGGGGGTTACCAGGGGATCTGGCTGGCACTCGACACTCAGGGGAAGGATGAGACGGATTTACAATCTGACAGTTACTGGTATCATAGGAATTGGAACTCTTGGCTTTCTGCTGAAGATGGGAGACTGAGCACTTATAGTAGTGTCCTGTGCTGTGATGCTGATTCTCATTTCAACATTCAACATCAGAACAGTTGCATTTTCTGTCACCAGGTCTTTATCGCTCGTTGTGCAGTCCTGGCGAGGTTGAACACTGCTCACTCAAGGACCCAATTCTATGATCATTTGCTACTAGTAATTGATTTTCCTGACAAATCAGCACCTGATGTATCACATCACATAGGTCCCATCACACCGAGCCCCATCACACCGAGTCCCATCACACCGAGTCCCATCACACCGAGTCCCATCACACCGAGTCCCATCACACCGAGTCCCATCACACCGAGTCCCATCACACCGAGTCCCATCACACCGAGTCCCATCACACCGAGTCCCATCACACCGAGTCCCATCACACTGAGTCCCATCACACCGAGCCCCTTTATTTCCTAGCATATGTTTCTGTTTCTTTTGCATTCATCTGAAGATGCTATCAGAATGTGCCAGTTTACGACATGGCTGCCATACTGGAGCCTTTCGGCCGACACATCCCACTTCAGGCATTTGGTGCCCGGTTCAATCTTCTAGGGTAGGAAGGAACAAAACTAGGTTTTAATAATGGAGTTTTTCAAAGAACAAACTAATTTATCACAGATTCCCCTGGAATGGACTAAGAGTTTTTGGACAATAAAATACATAAACCCTCTGGAGAAAGGTTCTTCAACCGATGGGTGGCGGCTCTCTGATGAACAGTGGAAAAGTCCAGGGTAGGCTGTAACAAAAAAATCTGCTCTATCATGTTAGGTAGGTAATTTTTTGTTTCTTTTCCAGGATTGCAGTCTATAGGACAATCTACAGATAATTTACAGATAATTTACAGATAATCTCAAAGATGAGAATCAAAAGATGTCTTATCAACTGAAAATTGTAATGTGGTGTATCTGATAGAACTGTAAATATTCAGCTACTATCTTTATGTTTGCTGGCTGTCAGATGGGCTCAATAACAATTCCCCTCTTTCTGGTGGGCTGTGTGGGTAAAAAAGCTGAGGAAAACTGCTCAATGTTTCTCCAACTTTCTTTATTTTAAGGCCCACAGCACCCCGTTTAAAAATTAAAATTTATTAGCACTCAATCACCAATAATCCACTAATCATAAAACAGTCAACAAGACTACGTTGTAAACAATATGCCTGGAAACTTGAAATTGTAAATACTTTTTAAAGCAACCATAGCAAAACTGACATTACAAAGCAACCATAGCAAAACTGACATTACACACAGCAAATAAAAATAACGAAGGAAAATATATGAAAGTGACTTTCTCAATGATCAATGTTTGCTATGCATCAATTCTGGCATGGGTCATTAACAGCTCTTCTGTGGCGCCAATAGTTGACCTTGCATGGTCACCCCTGTGTGCCCCATAGTTGACCTTGCATGGTCACCCCTGTGTGCCCCATAGTTGACCTTGCATGGTCACCCCTGTGTGCCCCATGGTTTTTCTCTCTGACTGGATCAGTCTGTGCAATCTAAGCCATGCTCTCTGTAGTTTGCATTTCTGCTCCATAACCACATGTGGCAGAGTCAGCGAGACCCACACAGCAGGAATGTGTTCTGAGTTTGCTGCATATTTCAAAGTTTGGTGCAGGAGAGCCTGGTATATGATACCACAATATCCAGCTTGAGAATGGAGGTGGAGGCAGTCAATGCAGCTTCCCGCTGGTTAGTGAATATGACACACACATCGTGATTGTAACTGACTCAAAAAGCATGCTAAAGAAGGCCAGGACAGGCATGCTTTGTGCAGAGTGGCAGGTTTCACTATGGAGGACACGGGTGAGGAGTACCGTCTGGATTTTTTTAAAGGGGTGACGCCGGTGTGTTGGGAAATGAACAGGTGGACAGACTGGCTTGCTCTGCATAACTTGGTAAGTGCCTTATTGGATAGCGTGTAGTTTTGAGAAGCAGATGGATCGCCAGTCTGGTGAGATTGATACAGCAAGGCGTGACGAGAGGTTCTGGCACATGCTTGAGTTTCAGAGAAAAAGCAAAACAGATGTTTAATTAGAATGCAACTGGCACCATTAGTATCGGAACTCTTCACTGGCTGCTGAAGATGGAATGCTTACAGGAATGCCCAGAGTGCTGTGTTGTCGGTTCTTGAATCAACTCAACTCTGTGTCTGAAATATCTAATCTGCATGTTTTCTTCCAAGTCTTTTTATACTGTCATGCTGTCTAACATCTTTCTTATTTTCTCACCATTTCAATTTCATACATCATTTTATGAGAGTCTTAGACTCTCTAAATCTCTGAGATGAGAAGGGCTGCATGATATATCAGTAACAGTCTCCATGGGGGCAATGCTTTAGAAATGGTTCCGGAAATGTCTCTTGACCAGCCTTGCTTTTACATTCATGAAAAATTAAATAAAACAATCCGCCAGATAATCAGAACCAACAAAGTAACTTCCAGAGGACTACATAATAATCTTATCTGGTACATTTTTCCCCAAGTATTGTTGGACCTGTATGCCAAAGTGGCCGGAAACCAGGTTTACTTTAGCTGGCAGTAATCTATCTATGGTTTCCAAGATAAATATGTCAATATTATAAAGGCCTTCTACACCGATTCCCGCTGCCTTGTTAGAACGGAATCTGGTAACTCTGATTGGTTCCCAGTAGAAACAGGCGTGAAACAAGGATGTGTCTTGTCACCGATGCTTTTCGGAATAGCACTCGATTGGGTCATGCGCAAATGCACACAGGACACACATCTAGGCATCAAATGGGTCGACAAAGTTCTCGAAGATCTTGACTTTGCTGACGACCTAGCACTCCTGAGCACAACACATCTAGAAGCTCAGGAAAAAATGGACCGCCTCCAGAATATTTCAAGCCAAATCGGCCTTCAGGTCAACGCAGCCAAAACGAAAATCATCGATCTTACCAACGAGTCGAAAGACATCAAACTAAAGGATATTTTTCTTGAAAAAATCACCAGCTTCACATACTTAGGGAGCAAGATAACCTCTGCGGGAGATACAACATCAGAAATAACGACTCGAATCGCGTTAGCATCAAGTGCCTTTAACAAACTGTCAAACATTTTGGAAGTCAAGATCACTCAGCAACAACACGAAACTTAAGGTCTTCAATTCCTGTGTGATCCCAGTGCTAACTTATGGTTGTGAGAGTTGGAAATCATCAGTATCAATCGATAAGAAACTAGTCGCTTTCGAGAATAGATGCCTCCGAAAGCTATTGAATGTTCACTGGTCGGACTTTAGGTCCAACACATCTATAAGACAGGAAACAAAACAAAAATATGTGTCTGATTTTTATTAGAATGCGTCGCTGGAATTACATCGGTCACGTACTCAGAATGGACATACAGAGACTTCCCCACCAAGCCTTCATATGGTCACCAGAGGGTAAAAGAAAACAGGGAAGACCAAAAGAAACTCTCCGTAGAACCATCACAAGGGAGAGCTCAACCATAGGTCTCAGTCGCACTCAAGACCTACATCAAGTGGCAACGAACCGACAGACGTGGAAAGCTATGACCTCTGCCCTATGCGCCATCTTTGGCACAAGAGGAACAACTAACTAACTAACTAACTAACTAATCTATGGTTTTATAATTGTAACCTTTTTTTTTCTGGATGATAACAAATAAAGAAGAATCCAAATAAATCAATGGCAACACAACATGTAATTTTTAAGTAAAAAGATATACTGAGAAAAGCCATCAAGTATGAATGGAGAAAAGGTGATAGCTCGACTCAAAACCACCACAAAACTACAAAGCCCCAGACACCACAGCAAATGTTTATAAATTGTTTCTTTTGTCTGAGCTCAATCTAGTTGTTTAGAAAAAATGCTCTCTCTCTCTCTCTCTCTCTCTCTCACGCATGCACACACACACTAGATATTGCACCGTGCTCTCAGAGGACATCTAGGTCAAAGGGAAATAAATCTCACAGGTCCATGCTGAGGTTAGCCCGTAGATAGACTGGTGCTTAATTCCCTCTAGTTTGTGGCTTGAAGTGTTGGTAGTAGCTGACGGTGATATCAGACATCAGGTCCTGGGTGCAGTCAGGCAACTCTCCAACTATTTTACCTGTCAACACACAACAGGTCATATGATCAGACAAAAAGATCACTGAGGAGCAGAACATATATGGGGAAATGATCAAAGGCTCAAGTAGAGACAGGTTAAGATGGGAGATCTGTGGATGTACTACATTTACCAAGACCACCTTAACCCCCATACGAAGGCTGAGATGGGAGATCTTCTACATTTATCAAGACCACCTTAACCCCCATACGAAGGCTGAGATGGGAGATCTTCTACATTTATCAAGACCACCTTAACCCCATACGAAGGCTGAGATGGGAGATCTTCTACATTTACCAAGACCACCTTAACCCCCATAAGAAGGCTGAGATGGGAGATCTTTGGATGTACTACATTTAAGACCACCTTAACCCCCATAAGAAGGCTGAGATGGGAGATCTTTGGATGTACTACATTTAAGACCACCTTAACCCCCATAAGAAGGCTGAGATGGGAGATCTTTGGATGTACTACATTTAAGACCACCTTAACCCCCATAAGAAGGCTGAGATGGGAGATCTTCTACATTTACCAAGACCACCTTAACCCCCATACGAAGGCTGAGATGGGAGATCTTCTACATTTACCAAGACCACCTTAACCCCCATACGAAGGCTGAGATGGGAGATCTTCTACATTTACCAAGACCACCTTAACCCCCATACAAAGGCTGAGATGGGAGATCTTCTACATTTACCAAGACCACCTTAACCCCCATAAGAAGGCTGAGATGGGAGATCTTTGGATGTACTACATTTAAGACCACCTTAACCCCCATAAGAAGACTGAGATGGGAGATCTTCTACATTTACCAAGACCACCTTAACCCCCATAAGAAGGCTGAGATGGGAGATCTTTGGATGTACTACATTTAAGATCACCTTAACCCCCATAAGAAGACTGAGATGGGAGATCTTCTACATTTACCAAGACCACCTTAACCCCCATAAGAAGACTGAGATGGGAGATCTTCTACATTTATTAAGACCACCTTAACTCCCATAAGGAGGCTTATATGGGAGATCTATAACCCAGTGATAAACTGTAGGAGCTTTCTTTCTGTAACCCAATGATAACGAGCATTCTCCCTACAGTTCAGCAAGATGTGCCTTGACTTGTCTCACCAAACCTACACAACAGGTGTGTCTAAACACGAAAGATACCTATAAATGGTTACAATTCAAGCTCTGTATAATTACTGGTCATCATCATCAAGTGATTTGATTTGTCTCGCCAAACCTACACAACAGGTATGTCTGAGCATGAAACATACCTTTACATTTCTACAATTCAAGCTCTATATAACTATTGGTCATCATCATCAAGTGCCTTGCCAACTGGCGTGGGCGATCATGCCCCTCCACAATCTGCAATCCACAACTGGGTGTTTCAATTTGTGTATTCACATCCCTCCATGCCAAGACAAATGGCTGTCAGGGACCTTCTCACGCTTTCTTCCTCTGTCTCTCTATCCACAGATCTTTCCAGGAGTCACAACATGCTCCATGTTCCCTCTTCTTATAACATGACCAAAAATTATGACTGTCTCTTTCTGATGTCTGTGGTAAGTTGTCTTCGAGCCCTCACCTTTTTCAAAACATCTGGGTTGCTCTTCTTAGCTGTCCAAGAAATTCTGAGGATTCTTCTGTAAAACCAAATCTCTATATATTTGGTTTATTTATTAATCGTCCAAGCTTGACAGCCATTATGTTAACACTTTCTATAATTAGCATGCGAGAATTTTTTTCTAAACCTCCAATGACATTGGTTTATTGCAAAATATATTTTTCATGTAATAAAATGCAGTTCTGTCCTTTTCTGTTCTTTACAGTGATTTCAGTCTACTGATCAGGAGGACAATAAAATTCAACTCAGAACAATGGAATGAAGGAGTACATGATAAAATAACTTCTAGAAATCAGTGTGATACATCCTTCATTGGATGTTATCAGTGTGCCTAGATACTTTCATTTTGGTACCTGTCCGTAAATATTGCCTCTGACTTTTACTATACATTTAGGCACTATTCTTTTCTTGGAAAGTACCATTACTTATAATCATTGCTAACATGTTTACACCCAAGGGAAAAAGGTTTTCTTCTACTCACCCATGGAAAATGTTAATATACTACAACCTAGTGTTTCAGTACTGCATCAAGAGGACAATCTCTAGACCAGCTCTAGAAACAATGAATGAAGGGAGGACATGATAAAATCAAGTCTAGAAACAATGAATGAAGGAGGGCATGATAAAATCAAGTCTAGAAACAATGAATGAGTCTAGGACAATGAATGACATGATAAAATCAAGTCTAGAAACAATGAATGAAGGAGGACATGATAAAATCAAGTCTAGAAACAATGAATGAGGGAGGACATGATAAAATCAAGTCTAGAAACAATGAATGAGGGAGGACATGATAAAATCAAGTCTAGAAACAATGAATGAGGGAGGACATGATAAAATCAAGTCTAGAAACAATGAATGAAGTCTAGATAAAACAATGAATGAAGGAGGACATGATAAAATCAAGTCTAGAAACAATGAATGAAGGAGGACATGATAAAATCAAGTCTAGAAACAATGAATGAGGGAGGACATGATAAAATCAAGTCTAGAAACAATGAATGAAGGAGGACATGATAAAATCAAGTCTAGAAACAATGAATGAAGGAGGGCATGATAAAATCTAGTCTAGAATCAATGAATGAAGGAGGACATGATAAAATCTAGAAACAATAAGTGGCACACTTACCAGGTGAGCCAGCATACAGTGTAAATGGAGGGACCACGGTCTCTGGGGGCAGAACCGTGTTGTCAGCTATAGCACAACAATCTTTCAATACTGACCTGCGACCCTGCAAACAAACCAAAATAACATTCGACAGTACCTACAATAGATTGCATTTCTCCGGTAATCCAAGACTAGGTGATTAATGAACATTTATACATCCCGATGATGTCAGCATTCACATCAATTATGTGATCATGTACAATAATCTACTACTATAAGACATGATTTTATGTACATTCCATAACATGCGAGATAAAAAGCCACCATAGCCTTCAAACATCAGATTATTGGCAAATATAACCCTAAGTGAATCCTGGACAATCAGTAGGCAGGCCAAAAAATTTCTTGAGGCCTCAGAGGTGTGGTTTTTCAGAAGAATGCTTAGAATACCTTGGACAGCCAAAAAGAGCAACTAAGAGGTTTTGAAAGAGGCGGGAGCCCGAAGACAACTTATCACAGACATCAGAAGGCGACAGTCATAATTTTTCGGCCATGTTATGAGAAGAGGGAAAATAGAACATGTTGTGACCACTGGAAAGATCTGTGAAAGGAGAGATAGAGGAAGACAACGAGAGAAGATTCCTGACAATCTTGTTGCATGGCATGGAGGAGTGTCGGCACACGAACTGATACATGCTGCAGGAGATCATGGATTATGGAGAGGCATGATCGCCCATGCCAGTCGGCAAGGCACCTGATGATGATGATGATGATAACCCCAAGTCCAAGGTACATCTACCCTTACTCTTGATCACAGCAACAGTTGGATTTATCCCTACAGTGGTATTTCTAGGTTTCAGGAAGTGAAACCAACCCGATGTTGCTCAGCTGGTGGGGGCAATAGAGGTGTGTTAAATGAAAAGCTTGGGCTGTGCTCAGCAACAATTCCACATGTCAGACTGTTACTCAGTGAGTGTGCCATCAAATGTTATGAAGTTCTCATTTAATACACTTCTTGGACATAGAAACTAACTAGCAGCTAAACACTTATCTGTCAGTCTGGTGATTTTGTGCCTGAATCCAAATCTAGGCTTCAATTATTTTCTTCTTCTTTTGTTCGCACCTTCCTACGCTAGTTTATCAGCTCTTTTATTTCCCCGAACTCCACAGTAGGATGGTATCTACTGCACAGCTACCTTACACTGGTTGTCTAGTTCAGAGAGTAGTTTCCAAATACCTGATAACTTTCCAGACTGGAGTGCCTGAAGTACCGCTTTTGTATTTGTTGTGATATGTACTTTGATTGTTTTAAAATTTACCTGAGCGTCCAGGTCGGTCCAGTTTCAATTAATATGAAATGTACTGGAAAGTAAAGGTAGCTAAAATGATATCATACATCGAGTGCACACTGGTCTATATAATTACTGCTAGCACCATACATCCAACCCAATATGCCTCAGAAACACAGAACAGTCTTTTTTTTGTGTGTGTGTAAAACCAACACATAATATGATAATGTGCAGCCATATAAATCAGTACAAATCTGCAGAACCATACAATGCATGATATGATGATGTGCAACCCAAAAAGTGCACTAAAAATACAGCTGTAAAAAAACAAAACTACAGACTTATAGGATAAGCTAATCAGGCCACACTGCCTAAAATATATGCACATGCTTCTACCAAACTGTACTTGTTGTATGGCTAGGATGTGTTAACTAATGTGTGTGCCCATGTATGTGTTGCATGCATGCATTCGTGTGTCAGCGTGTGTATAAATGAATAGAACAATAACTTACAATGACACAGTTCTTGCCAATGTGCACAAACGAGCCAACCTGTGCTGCATTGACCACAGAATCTTCTTCAATGAGTACATGATCCCCAATGTGCAGCGGAAAGAAGGCCACACTGAAACAAACAAACAAGTTACTCAGTGAGGTCTCAGAATAATGACGCTAGCACACACAGCAAGACACAGGCTTGAGCACATGTTGCTGGCCCTATACTTTCTTGACTAAACTGTGTATACAAGTCCACCCAACCTAACATGGGTACCAGAAAATGTCCCAGGAAATAAATGTGGCTGGTACAGTGTTGATCACACTCTTCAAGTATGGGTAGCACACAATGTCCTAGGAAATAAATGTGGCTGGTACAATGATGATCACACTCTTCAAGTATGGGTAGCACACAATGTCCTAGGAACTAAATGTGGCTGGTACAATGATGATCACACTCTTCAAGTATGGGTAGCACACAATGTCCTAGGAACTAAATGTGGCTGGTACAATGACGATTACACTCTTTAAGTATGGGTAGCACACAATGTCCTAGGAACTAAATGTGGCTGGTACAATGATGATCACACTCTTCAAGTATGGGTAGCACACAATGTCCTAGGAACTAAATGTGGCTGGTACAATGACGATTACACTCTTTAAGTATGAGTAGCACACAATGTCCTAGGAACTAAATGTGGCTGGTACAATGATGATCACACTCTTCAAGTATGGGTAGCACACAATGTCCTAGGAACTAAATGTGGCTGGTACAGTGTTGATCACACTCTTCAAGTATGGGTAGCACACAATGTCCTAGGAACTAAATGTGGCTGGTACAATGATGATCACACTCTTCAAGTATGGGTAGCACACAATGTCCTAGGAACTAAATGTGGCTGGTACAATGATGATCACACTCTTCAAGTATGGGTAGCACACAATGTCCTAGGAACTAAATGTGGCTGGTACAATGATGATCACACTCTTCAAGTATGGGTAGCACACAATGTCCTAGGAACTAAATGTGGCTGGTACAATGATGATCACTATTTGACACAAATATAGGAACAGCATCATATACCTGATGCATCAATGGCATCAACAGGGTGTTTTTCTAATATATTTCTTTTATTTATTATTTAAAAGGTCAAAAGATGAGATTTTACAACTTCCCTCCTCCTGGATAAATCCCCCATGGCTCAGTCTCTCTCTGCAAAAGGCTGGCTGCCTGTTGAGAGTATCACACAGAGCTTCATAGCTCCAACATGTTCCCTAGGAATCTCCAAACTGCCAGTCAGTTAAGTGAATTAGTCAGTTAAGTAAGAACTACGAGGTTGTGCAAAAAAAAACACATGATTTCACAAATATAGCGTCACATATGGGACTACAAATCATTTATAAAAAGCCTGATATACTGAAGACAACAGATCAAGTAGGTATCACACTTAAGACAGCATATCAAGTAGGTATCACACTGAAGACAACAGATCAAGTAGGTATCACACTGAAGACAACAGATCAAGTAGGTATCACACTGAAGACAACAGATCAAGTAGGTATCACACCTAAGACAACAGATCAAGTAGGTATCACACCTAAGACAACAGATCAAGTAGGTATCACACTGAAGACAGCAGATCAAGTAGGTATCACACCTAAGACAACAGATCAAGTAGGTATCACACTTAAGACAACAGATCAAGTAGGTATCACACTTAAGTCAACAGATCAAGTAGGTATCACACTTAAGTCAACAGATCAAGTAGGTATCACACTAAAGACAACAGATCAAGTAGGTATCACACTTAAGTCAACAGATCAAGTAGGTATCACACTGAAGACAACAGATCAAGTAGGTATCAAACCTAAGACAACAGATCAAGTAGGTATCACACTGAAGACAACAGATCAAGTAGGTATCACACTGAAGACAACAGATCAAGTAGGTATCACACTTAAGACAGCAGATCAAGTAGGTATCACACTTAAGACAACAGATCAAGTAGGTATCACACTTTAAGTCAACAGATCAAGTAGGTATCACACTAAAGACAACAGATTAAGTAGGTATCACACTTAAGTCAACAGATCAAGTAGGTATCACACTGAAGACAACAGATCAAGTAGGTATCACACCTAAGACAACAGATCAAGTAGGTATCACACTGAAGACAACAGATCAAGTAGGTATCACACCTAAGACAACAGATCAAGTAGGTATCACACTTAAGACAGCAGATAAAGTAGGTATCACACTTAAGACAGCAGATAAAGTAGGTATCACACTGAAGACAACAGATCAAGTAGGTATCACACTTAAGACAACATATCAAGTAGGTATCACACCTAAGACAACAGATCAAGTAGGTATCACACTGAAGACAACAGATCAAGTAGGTATCACACTTAAGACAACAGATCAAGTAGGTATCACACTGAAGACAACAGATCAAGTAGGTATCACACTAAAGACAACAGATCAAGTAGGTATCACACCTAAGACAACAGATCAAGTAGGTATCACACCTAAGACAACAGATCAAGTAGGTATCACACCTAAGACAACAGCGGTATCACACCTAAGACAACAGATCAAGTAGGTATCACACCTAAGACAACAGATCAAGTAGGTATCACACTTAAGACAACAGATCAAGTAGGTATCACACTTAAGACAGCAGATAAAGTAGGTATCACACCTAAGACAGCAGATCAAGTAGGTATCACACTTAAGACAACAGATCAAGTAGGTATCACACTTAAGACAGCAGATAAAGTAGGTATCACACCTAAGACAGCAGATAAAGTAGGTATCACACCTAAGACAGCAGATCAAGTAGGTATCACACTTAAGACAACAGATAAAGTAGGTATCACACTTAAGACAGCAGATCAAGTAGGTATTACACTTAAGATAGCAGATCAGGTAGGTACCACACTGGAGTTTTATTAACAGTTCAGTTTACTTTTTAAGGTAGCAATTTCATTGACAAAGAAATTACCTCATGCCCTTTCTAGCTATGCAACAGCTGCTTTTAAAAGCCTAAACAAAATATTAATAAATTATACAGTTTTAAAACAAAGTTATGTATTCCTAATTCTAATGTTATTTTAATGTAACATATGCTAGTGAAAGTTGGAGAACAATTAAGGACATGGAACAAAAGTTGAATGTACTGGAAAACAGACGACTGAGGAAATCAATGAACATAAAATGGGATGAATTCAAGAAAGGCAAAGAAATAGGAAATGTCTGGAGAACCACTTGCATTGTCTGTGAGAAGATGATAATATACTGTGCACATCATGAGGATCAGCAGAGAATCTCTAAACAGGCACTATAATAGGAAACAAATGGATTGTGGAAATGAGGATGACAAAGAGAAACCACAAAACGAATGTTGCTGACAGAGGCCAAAGCTACTGGATTTGATTCCATACATGATATTGACAGGATTTTTGATGCATGCGGGGAATTCTGCTCAAATTATGAAGCTGAAATAATTGCACTGGAAACAGAAGTATACCACCTAAAGACTGTTATGGATGTTTACCCTTCAAAGGCCCAAAATATTGTCATCTTCACAGATACAATGTCTGCCCTTCAAGCTCTGGAGGGCAGCGAACGCTGCAGAACTTAAATAGCCAAGATAATCCTGGATGATGATCAGCTTTTTACCTCATACAACATCAGAATAGTGATGCAGTAGATTCCAGGCCACTCCAGCACACCAGGTAATGACAGAGCTGACAGACTCGCAAAGAAAGGAGCAACACAAGAACAACCACCTACAGCGACAACCCTACAGACAGCAAAAACACTTCTAAGGGCTATAAACAAAGAGACTTGATTGAACAGATGGGCCATAGGAGACACTGGAAGAGAGGTTTATAGACATATGTCTGGCCCTGATCCTAATGACAGCATTACCCATCTAACATGAAGGGAACATGCCACCATCTTCAGACTTGGAACACAACATACTCCACTCAGTGGACATCTAAACAGAATACAGCCACAACACTCCCCAGAGTGCCAGCTATGTAACTTCCCCTATAAAACTGTTGAACACCATCTCTATGAGTGCTCAAAACTCAGCGAGACTAGAAGAATGCTACTCCCTCCAAGACCAGACAAGTGGAACACCTTGTACGGAGGAAAAGAAAAGCTTGTGAAAACATGCAAAATTCACTATATGGCATTGGGCCATAGGGCGAAAGCTCATGCGCCGCTGGATCAATAACAACAACAAAGGATTGCACAGGATACAATAGAAATGATAAGCAGACTCCGAGCCTTATGAGACAGGTTGATGATGATGATCATGAATGTGTCAAGTAACTAAAGCAATTACCCTAAGTAATTGTGAATAGTAACAATTACCTTCTGTAAAGTGATAGTGAGTTAAAACAAAATTCATCTGCACCAATTTTTGTTATAGAATACATTTAATGGCAATGAACAAACACTCACCCTTTAGAGAATTTTTTGAAAGCTGGACGAATCACAGCATTAGTGCTGATAATACAATGCCTGCCAATGCGAACATTGGCCAGATCTCCTCGGATGACACATCCAGTCATGACCACTGTCTGGATCAGAAATAAACTAGATTAATCAGAGATTACAAGTGCCTGTGCAAGAAAATATCTCACGTAATGAAACAATATGACTGTCTGAATTATAAACAAACACTAATAACCAGACATTATAACTGTTTGCATCAGAGGAAAAGAAAGCACAATAATCAGAAATCACAAGACACAGGCATAAAAAAATCAGGTGTTAAAAGTTGTCTGTATAATAAATCAAACATTACAACCATGTTTTGAAAGACAAGGTATTCCATAACCATGCAAGACATTTGTCAGCAATAAATGTTAAAATGTCCCCATGATAGTACTGCTTCGTGTTATAAAAAGTAGAGATGCAAAATTGTCACTGTGGCAGATATGTGAGCAATTTATTGAATATGGTAAAAGTCAACACCTTATATATTTATAGATTAAGAGAAGGCATTCAATCTATTCAAAAGATGCAAACTATGGAACATTCTATAAGAAACATCATGGCTCTTTACCAAGATAGTCGGTGAACAGTAAGAACAGAAACAATGACAGACTGGGTCCTACTAATTGAAGGAAGGATTTACTGGTTCTCCAGACATGGATGTGTTCTCTCACCATCTTTATTACTTACATGGATAGAATTATATAGTGGACAAATACAGACAATGAAAACATCAATGAACTTCTTTATGCAGATGATCAGTGTCTAATACACCATTAACTACATAATGTACAACAACATACTGACTCCTTACATCAAACCTGAACACCACCAAGTACAGAATGTACAACAACATACTGACTCCTTACATCAAACCTGAACACCACCAAGTACAGAATGTACAACAACATACTGACTCCTTACATCAAACCTGAACACCACCAAGTACAGAATGTACAACAACATACTGACTCCTTACATCAAACCTGAACACCACCAAGTACAGAATGTACAACAACATACTGACTCCTTACATCAAACCTGAACACCACCAAGTACAGAATGTACAACAACATACTGACTCCTTACATCAAACCTGAACACCACCAAGTACAGAATGTACAACAACATACTGACTCCTTACATCAAACCTGAACACCACCAAGTACAGAATGTACAACAACATACTGACTCCTTACATCAAACCTGGACAAAGTATGATATTAATATAAACACAGCAAACACTGAGGTAATGAGAATAGGCAGGAAATGTAATAACACGAATTCAAATATCTAGGAAGCATATTTACATAAGATGGCAGACTCAACAGAGACATGAGAGTACAGTTGACAAATGTTGTTACCGACCATTTAGCCCAACTGCTTAGACACCCAAATCTCTCCCTTCAAGCAAAACTGCAAATAATTAATAGCATTTTCATCACTACTTTATGCTATTAGTGGACAATAAAAATAGAGCACTAGAACAGACAATAACTACCTGTAAAATACACCGTCTCAGTAGGTCACTAACCACTCAGGAATGGACAGAGTTATACCAGCGTTTGAGAGAAAGCTGGAATATGACAGTGTCTGATTTATATTGACAGACAAAGAATGAACTGGTTTAGTCAATTAGTGAGAATTTAGTAAGACCAAAGTATACATAAGACTTTTTTTTTTTTTTACCGCAGAACATATGTGAGGAAGGTGAGAGGAAGACCAAGAAAGATATGGATAAATGGTGTAGCTGAAACCTGCAAAGAAATTACCAAATCCATCAGCCAAGCCTCCTGAGCAGCCCAAGATAAATACAGAAAACCTTGACAATGGGCTACAACCTGGTACCAGTGAGACCACACAATAAGAAGAAGAAAGGCTGACATGGTGGTTTTTAACATGTGACTCCTGAGTTCTAGATCTGTGACTCTGCTGCTCCTTGCTTCCCATTGTTGAACTATTGCACTGACTTTCAACTTCTCCGTGCTCCCCGTTGTTGAACTATTGCACTGACTTTCAACTGCTCTGTGCTCCCCATTGTTGAACTATTGCACTGACTTTCAACTGCTCCCCATTGTTGAACTATTGCACTGACTTACAACTGCTCCCTGCTCCCCATTGTTGAACTATTGCACTGACTTTCAACTGCTCCCCATTGTTGAACTATTGCACTGACTTTCAACTGCTCCCCATTGTTGAACTATTGCACTGACTTTCAACTGCTCCCCATTGTTGAACTATTGCACTGACTATCCAGAGCAAGGACAGTTGTCGTGTATGTGTGTGTTCTAATGGACCAAAGTCAAAACAAACCTTGCCATTAATGACTATGTTTTGGCTTCCACACAAGACTGACTGGCGACTAACTTTGTTTCCTGATGCCTGCAGAAGACAAATGATGCATGTCATAAAAAATATGTCAGGGCCAGAAAACTTCAAAAGCAAATGACAATCATCCTAGGCAGAACAAAACTTGTAATGCTGCAAGATGATTGATTAAAACATAGACAAACGAGGTATAGGGGGTGGGGAGAGAGGGGAGCCAAAACAAAAATCCTTGCAATAAAAAAAAAAATTTACTGAGCCTATAATTTAGAATGATTTTACTACAAACAAGTAGTTAACTGTGCTGATCATCAGAATCATAGTAATATGGGAAATATTTACATGGAGTAATAGAAACATGAACTTTAAAGGAGGCAAAATGCTAAATATACCATACCACCCACTACAACAAGCCGGCTCTCCTCCGAACTTTGTTCCCATATTATGGCAGCCAAACAAGTACCCTAACAGGGCCTCAGTTGTGTGTAAAATGCGGACTTACTCCGAGGAACACATCGCGGGAAAAATTTGGATTACTGTTCGTTGACAATTTCACATGTAGTGGCTCGGGGGATACTGTCAGCGGTGCGGCACAGTGGCAGAAACAGGTCCGCAATTAACATATCGCTGAGACCCTGTGAAAGTATTTGTTTGCCCTCGATAATATTGGCCCATTATTTGGAGGCAATCCTAGTTTTGCCACGATTTGTTCCTCGGCAGGCACTCCGCATTTTACACATGACTGAGGCCCTGTTAGAGTATTTGTTTAGCCTTCATAATATGGGGACGAATTTAGGAGGAGAGACTACAAGACTATTACAATAAAACATATTGGGGAAAAAAAAGATAGCTCTAAAGAATTACACTGAAAAATATTTCATAAGAACAAACACTTATATTTTATAGGATCCATCTGGGCAGCCAAACACATGTAATTTAAATTACTTGTAAAAAAGTTATTTAAAAAACAAACAACAACAGGCATATACTTAGCTATTCTTTCATGCATTGAAATTAAACAGGAGAGTGGCCTGCTGTGTTATGGTTTTAAACATAGGGACACATACACATATAGTATATTGTGTGTGTGTGTGTTTTGTGCTTCATTTTATGTTGATGTAACTCAAACTCTGTCATAACACCTGGAGAGATACAGCGAATTATGCCTGGCAATAAAAAGTGCAATGTATTGTTTGTGTCCGCATTATTTAAATTCATTAGGGAAAAACATTGTATTGAATATATATATATATATATATATATATTCCCTAGTGTTCACTAACACTACATCATCTTCGCTGTGAAGACTTAAACGTGCCGACAGTCAGTAATCGATGTATCACTGTGAGCTATAGTAGTAACTAGTATCAGATCACGGTGTGATGTGAGTCACTGAAAATTCAAAATATGCATTTTACTAATAATTATCCCTATACAGCTATGTAGGTACCGTTTCAATGTACTGTGCGCTGTTATAAAATTCATCCTGCAACTCCATGACTACAAGAAAAACCTTGAATAATGTTACAAACTAGCGGATACAATTCTCACACACGACAAGTAGTCATCACTGTAGTAGATTGAGCAGAAACGACCTATTGCAACCCGGAAGTAGAATCTGTGTGTGCAGTTTGTGCATAGGTGTACAGTATATTTCATAGACGCAAAATAAAAAGTAAAGGACCTTTTTAACACCAGCAACGCATCAACTTTAGGTACTCTAACCTGGAGACTCACAACCCTTGCGACACCCCTCTCCCCATAAAAAACTGTTTAACCCCCAAACCCCCGGCTAAATTTAATGTTTAATGGTGGCAGCTTATAAGCTGCCACCCTTAAACATGTATAGACGTTATCTTCAAAAGTATTTGCTTATTCATTTCAAAACAATTATTTCATTTATTTATCATTCAGCATATTGTTTTTTCAACTGTTATGCTGTTAAACTAGGATTAGGCCTTCGAGTGCCCACTTTAGTGTCTATAAAAAATGTATGTTGTGTCTCTGTGTCGGCGCCTTTGCACGGACATATTTTTTTTAAAAACCTCGATGGGTGTTCTGGGAAATATCACATCGGTCACCTTCACTGCCCATGAAATTTCTTTGTGCCCATTTTAGGCTAGTCGACATGGAAACCGAGGTAATTTTTGGTTTAAAATCCAGCCGGTGAAGATTCGAACCCAAGATCTTCAGGCCAGCAGTCGAACGTCTAGCTACATCGTTAACTTGTCTCCCACTGATAGATTAAGCCTAATAAGAGGGGTAGTCTAAAAGTAAGTCACAATTAGTAATGGGAAAACAGAAAAATTTACTTAGTGGTTTCTAAGGGTGCCATTAGGTGACAGCGTCGACTTTTTGTCTCCGTTCTTTAAGGTGGCACTAGTTATTGCATGTACATTCGCAACACAGAAACAAAATGGCGACTGTACTTACAGAGTGTACCCTCAAAGAACAACGCGCTGTTGCGCGTTTCCTTTTATGGTTGAAAAGGGGGGGGGGGCTCTATCTGCAAACGACATTCAAAAGGAAGGAGGAGGAGAAATGCTGAACAGAATTACTACTGGGGACGACTCATGGGTGCATTACTATCAGTCAGAATCAAAGCGTGCTTCAATGCAATGGAAATATCTTTCTTCTCCTTGTGTTAAAAAATTCCAGTTTACGCCATCAACAGGGAAGGTTATACTGACAGTGTTCTAGGATTGTCGATGAGTGCTTTTAACTAGTGTCCACACACACACACACACACACACACACACACACACACACACACACACACACACACACACACACACACACACGCAAGCACGCACGCACGCACGCACGCACGCACGCACGCGCACACGCACACGCACGCGCACACGCGTACACGCGCGCACGCACGCACGCACGCACACACACACACACACACACACACACACACACAAGTGACAACGTGAATGCTGATCCATATAGTAAAGTTCTATTGATGCTTTATGATGCAATAAGTCCATGCCTGCTGACTAGAGGGGTACTGCTATTTCATGACAATGCCAGACCACATACGACTCGGTTAATTGCAGGAGAAAATTAACCATATAGGGTGGGAAATTATGGAACATCCACTTTACAGTCTCGACTTAGCCCCTAGTGATTTCCACTTTTTTGGTTCATTGAAAACCACCTTGGCGGGATAGGTAGGTAAGTTGTACCCCACCAGGACATCACACAGGCGATTAACACCCGGTGACACAAAGTGCCACAATTCGGATGAGGATCACCTGTGAAGAGGTCCCGGAAACCCCGTTCAGCCATTACGCCATATTTATGGCCCAGCTATGTTTAGGGCCCCCGGCAAAAGCTAGGGTGGGACTTCAAATTAACTAAAAATTGCATCCCACATAGGGACGACTCTGAAAAAATATAAGATATACATTTTACGGAGAAGTTGAATATGAAGTGAAAATGTGGTTTAGAAAACAGAGCACAGTTCTGTACAGTAGGTTTTGGAAGACTGATAAAACGATGGGACAAGTGCATCAACGTTGGTGAAAATATATATTCAAAGATGAAGGGACAACGTATATGCAAAAATAAAAGGTTTTCAAATTGTTTTCGTCTGTAATTTTTTTTTTTTTTAAAACAACCATTTGTGACTTACTTACTTCCCCTCGTATTTATTGGGCTAAAAGTATGATTCTCTTAAAAAAGAAAATAGGGGCTTTTGAGCTAGAAATGCTATAGAAAGATTCTTAGAATATCTTGGAGAAAGAAGAAGAAAAATACTGACATCTCGAAAGATCTGAATATCAAGGAAGATTGGCTAATAAACAGCATCCTGTCTTGGAAGCTGAAATATTTTGGTCATATCAAGCGCCACGACTTTTTGGAAAAAAGTTATAGCAGAAGGCATGGTACCAGGAAGGAGGGGCAGGGGCCGACCGACACGAAAATGGGCATAGGATATAAGTGACACCTTGAGTATGAAAGTAAGGGAGAGCTGGCAAGAGACCGAGCTTCTTTCAGGCAGATTGTGATTAGAGCGACGTTCTGCAAAGGACCTGCTACATGATGACGATAAAAAAATATGATGTTTATGTTTATTTGTCTTTATTCGACGGATCAACATAATGACACACAGGTGTAACACATAAGCGCTCCATTTTGAGTCTGAAGAAGAGCCCGAGTCTGAAGAAGCTCAGCGCAGTGCACGATCTCCGTTGCATCGACGAGGATCCTGAAATATTTGGGTAGATTTTTAATCAAAATTGAGCCCGGATAGCAATCGCAGCCTTCACCGGGGCTTGAACCCAGCACCTCCTACACTCGAGGCGGACACCATACCTCGAAACCACTGAATAACACTAGACAACAACAAAATTGCTGAAAGGCATGGCTACAGTTTCTGAGGAATCTGAAAGACCAAAACATTTATAGTTAATAGAATAATGTGTGTTGACACAGATACAGACACTCTTTTATCCCCCCTCCCTTCTCCCAAATGCCGCAAAACAGCAATAAATTAGTTATTTTATTCTTTAAAAAAAAGATGTCACATGTTGTGTTCATCGCTAATTGCTGTGGCAGTGACTGAGCAACTAAGGAATAAGAAATGTATAGCACTATGATGAACACATGATAGTATCGGTACGAGACAGAATCTACTTCCTGACATCCGTGTAGCTAGCTGCTCAGGATCATTTATGGAGAGTGTCCAACAGCCGTCAACCAGCAATGCCTTTGTCCAGTTTTCTTGGTATCGTTACTCTATTGTCAAATGTGGCGGTGTTATGGTATCATATGCTAGGATCTCCTGCAACAAACGTCGACTTTTAGTTTTTGTTTAAAAAAAAAAAACCCTCAGCACGTCTTTTACCTCTTGACACTGAATCGTCTGTATAAACAATCGCATCACCTGAGCGAGCATTAGAGGTTAGTTAGTTGCGTATCCTTTACAGGACGTTGCAGAACCAACCCGAACAGCCCCTGGCTGTTGTGTTTTTTTTTTCTAGGCAAATTCACGTCCAGTAGTTGAGCGAGCATTATCTTGCATTATTTGCTGAATTTCCACCTCCGTGTCGTTTTCTTCTTCTTTGCGTTCGGTTTCGTATGCTCAGAGCAGAACATCAGGTGGGCAGTCTCAATGAGCAGGCATTTGAGTTAGAGGTCCTGCATGGTTCCTCATAGCTTGCTCTGCACACTTTGCTCTTGAGGCCAGGTCTGACTGACTGACTTTCTACCCCACCAGGACATCACACAAGCGATTGAGACTACTTGCAACAGTCGGCAAAGTGCCACAATGCGGATGAGGATCGCCGTGGAGAGGTCCCAGAAACCGCGTTCAGACATTTGGCCATATGTATGGCCTGCCTATATTGCGGCCCCTGGCAAAAGCCAGAGTAGGGCTTCAAATGACAAAAAATTTCGTCCTATAAAGAACGAAATTATGTATCGATTAATTATTGAGGCCAGGTGTCTTTTCGAAGTTAATCTGAGGTGCGACTTCGCCTGCAGCAGCTTGAGACTACTTACAACAGTCGGCAAACCAAGGATGTATCGCATGCACACCACTGGTACAGCTCGGAATGACCCGCATAGACGCGTTCGTTATGCTCTCAAGTTTAACCAGTTGGCTCTTTGAGACAGTGAGCAGTCCTAGTCCATAATCAATCACTGGGGTTATTCAGTGCTGATATAGTGTGAAACGCTTTCTCTGCTCTATGTCGACTGCAGTCATTGTCTTATGTAACTTAATAAGTCTTTTTGTGTGTTATTTTGGCACCTTGTCTTCACATGCTCCTTGAAGGTAAGGCTCCTGTAAAAATTGATTACCATATGCTTCAGTTTTATCTCTCTGTTGACATTTCTACTATCTATCATGAGACTTGATATCACCTTTAACAATCCTGTTGTCTAGAATCTAGAGAACACCACAAACAAACGCCTCGCTGGGTGGACGTCAGCACTCATTTCTGTACACCAGTCAATCATCTTGGGGGAGAGGTAGGATATAACTTAAATAAATTGTAAAAAAAAAAAAAAATAACAGTAACCACAGTCCAATGTTTATGTACACACGTTAACAAATGTTAATTTTCTTGTAAAAATCTTGACTATGAGAGAGTTTTTGGGGCGATCTTTCTGTTTGAAATGTCTGGTGACGGCGAGAGGCTGACGGAGGGATGGCGTACCTGGCACACTCAGACGGGCAGACAAGAGATCATGTCTGCATATCTTGTTGCATGAGTATCAGTATAAGATCATGGACAACAAAAGGCAGTGAACAGTATCACAAGTATCATATGGTACGCACAAGATAGTTCTCCTTCTTCTTTACTTCCTCTTTTACCGCATAAAGTGTCGAGGGAGATTTAAGGTCCTGGTTCGTGCTCCTCTAGCTGCTTTGACCATAGACACATCGTGGGGCTGTAGTTTCTCTGATGTTATCTTTCATTTTGTTCTGGTCTACCTCTTACTCTACGTCCCTCTCCTCTTTTGGTATATGCCTTGAATGGTATAGCATCAGAAGGCATTCTCTTCAACTGGGCAAACCATTTGATTTTCTGTCTTTGTATGTAATTTAGAAATGGTTCTGTGCCGACTATATCTTGTGTGACCTTATTTCTGATTTTATCTTCTGGACACTCCTACAGTCTTTCTCAGACACCTCATTTCAATGGTTACTAATTTTCTTTTATGTTTTGTTGTGAGAGACCATGTCTGACACTGGTAGCATAGGATGGGAATGAATATACAAGATAGTTTCAGCATGAAAGAACAACTAGGTCTTTGGAAAGAATCTCACAAGCCAGCCTAAACAGGTCATTAGAGATTTGTCTTCCTACAATAGCCTCTTCATATCTAATATATTGCAGATGATCATAATTATGTATTGGCTACTGTCAGACAGTGATACAGCTGACAGATTTGTCTTCAGTCTAGAGGTGACAGCAACTGCAATAGCATGATTGTAAGTAAAAGTAAAGATCCCTTATTACACCTAAGGCGCATCGGGTAAATGGGCGGAGCGCCCACAATTTTTACAGACCAATCGGCACTGAATGGGTAATGTGGTCAGCATTACGCCGGCCGTCTTTACTTCCCTGGGACAGGTTTTCAGTGTGCTCACCTGCCATTTTGGTCAGATCTGGCAATCTTGGCTTGTTTTCCTCACAAGACCAAATGGTTTGGAAGTAAACCCAGCCAACCTCATGTGAGTTCCACAAAATGTACTTTGTACTTTCAGACCATGCTACTTTTAGACCATGCTACTTTCAGACCATGCTACTTTTAGACTGTGGTACTTTCAGACCATGCTACTTTTAGACCATGCTACTTTCAGACCATGCTACTTTTAGACCATGGTACTTTCAGACCATGCTACTTTCAGACCATGGTACTTTTAGACCATGCTACTTTCAGACCATGCTACTTTTAGACCATGGTACTTTCAGACCATGCTACTTTCAGACCATGGTACTTTTAGACCATGGTACTTTCAGACCATGCTACTTTTAGACCATACTACTTTCAGACCATGGTACTTTCAGACGATGCTACTTTCAGACCATGGTAGCGCAGCTGACTAGCTCTAGTAACCATGGTTAATGTGACTAACAGCATTGACATTTGCAGATAACAAACAGCAAGAGTCAGACCCCACAAGAATTGGATTACTAGAGTAGCAGAAGCAACACAGGGTTCTTTGCACATAGCCCACACAGTGGCCAGAAAGGGCTTCCTAATCTCGTGATGACAGACGTAACTGGGAAAGCAAAGCTAAGAAAAAAAGACTGTCTGCCTGTTGAATGGATACATTGTTATATCTGTTTTAATATGTTATAGTGATGGCTTATTGAAATCAACTAAAACAAAGTTTTAGATAATTAGCAAATGTTTTTTAAATGATTTCTTCTCCTCAGGCCCAGATTTGTAAATGCATCAAATGTGGTGAATTCAGGCCACGACTGCATGCTTGTCTCTCCTGCATCTACTTTGGTTGTTATGGCAAAAGGCACATTCACGAGCACTCTGAAGACAGAAAGCACCACATAGGTAATCATTGTATCTGAACTAATCATAGTTGCCAGTTATCAGCTATCTGCTGATGTTCATATCATGTATACACCCAAGTTCTTTCTATTCTGATCAATAATTTATGAAATGTATATCTATTCTAACATACCCAGAAACTATCCAGTGTTGTTATTCAGTAGAAATAAAATGTGTCCAATGATTTTAGTTTGGTAACAATATGTTAGTGATCTCAAAAAAAGTAACTGAGTACCAAACAAACAGTGACTAGCAAACCCAATGGAAGAGAAGGATACAGGCGCGCTTACTTCCCTCTGTTGAATGTTCTAGTTATAAGTTGTGGTGTTTAGTTACTTGTGGATATCTGCTTGACAGTAGTCACTTCTGTTTACATCATCAGGTTAATGCTCTTGAGGGGAATAATGTACAGCGGTTGTACTTGAGTTATTTGGTTGCTCCCACAACACTGATCCTCTTCTTCTAGATCCTTCTGTTGTTTTTGTCTTCTCTCTGGATGTGTGGTTGTAGTCTGTTGAAGCCTAAGACTCCTGGAGGGAACATTGCCACCCAAAGACTAATCTGCACCAATTGTAAGCCTTGGGGTGACTCTTTATTATGCATATGGGTAGCTGTGAATTTTCATTACCAGCTTTGTTAACCTTATTGATATTTGAGGTTCAAGAGAAAAGGAGGTCTGAAACACACAATCCCAGCTGAGATGGCAAACTGGTAGCAGGTGAAGAGAAAAGTGTGTGCCTCAACCTCACTCTGATTGATGCCAGTTTGTCTCAGGGTTTAGATTACCTGGCTACCATTGCATTGGAATGTACTTAACAGGTTAGATCTGTCTTTCCAAATATTCACTAGCCAGCATGTCTTGCTGTACACTGTATTTCACAGAACCCACTTTTATAATGTGATATGTAGGTTGACTTGGTGGTGCAGCATTTGTGTCAGACTCAGCACAGGCCAGGTCCACATATTTTGTTAACAAATAAGGAATATGAAGATATTAAACGATGTAGGAAGTCATGTGACTACCCTGTCTACCCAAAGGCAGAAGTTCTTAGATTCTAATTGCGTGTTAAAAATTCCTTGCCAGTTGAAATGGAAAATAGGCTTGTAGGTTTCTGATATCGCTAATTAAAAATTATAGGATATTTACAATAGTGTATTTTTAATTTGTATAATTTCTTGTAATTCTTCCTCTTCTGCTGCTGCTTTTCATGGTTGATATAAATTTTCTGCTAAGCTCGTCAAGGTTTATTCTCCAGTAGTGGCAGCATTCTTGTTTCTCTAGTTTGGTTCTGGAGTTGAGCCTCATGCTACCAGACACTTTGAGCATAGTACAGCAAAGTAAAGAGGAAGAGGAAGGGAAGTAGCTACCCCACCTCATCATGCTATACCTGAGACTATGTGAAGGCTTATCAGTATCTGCAACAGGGCTTCCTTTACCATTACCACTTTAACATATGTTTTAGATTGTACTTCTTCTTTTGTTCATTATTTGATTTATAATAGTGTATGTTCCTTGTGCTATTCTGAGCATACATTGTATTTATTCTTGGTGTGTTTTGCAGTTACTTGTTCTTTCCTTACATTAATCAAATTAACACCCACACCATATCACCTACCCACCCCAGTTTATTGTTCTAGCGTGCAATTGTTTTGGTTTTATTTCTGCTTGTGTTCTTGACTGTTGCTGAATTTATGTTACTATACCCAATTTATGGTCAGTAACAGAACACATTCATTTTATAGTGGCAACTTAATATCGTTGAATTTTGTTTCCCTTCATTTTCCTAATGTGTATTTCTTCTGCTTGGCTTTATTCATAAATCAGTGATTGTATAATGTGCAGTTGCTGCAGATTACCTACTATATCCAGTTTATTGTCATTTATGTCATATATTTTGTCTCTGAGACTTCTTCTTCTTCATCTTCACGTTGACCGGCTGTAAACTCCGGCGGAAAGTTCTGGTTGTTCGTCCACTTCTCAACTGCAGTCCTGTTCCAGAACCTAAGTGTTGCGTGTGCATCCATTTAACAGATCTGTATGCAGACTGTTAGTTCCTGGCCTCTCAGGCAGATGCACTCCGACTTCGAAGGAAGCTCCTAATTAGTCGACTCTTATGACATGCTTTTGGGTAGGCAGTGGGTCTATTCTTGTTTTTCCCATAGTAGGGCCCCAGAACCCACACAGGGAACTATGACTGTTAGATGACAATATGGCAGTATATGACAGTCTGATTTACAGACACCCATATTATGAAGCAGTCATAAGTATGCTTGTTCAGCCGGCCATTGTTGTATTTTACCTAATGATATTCTCTGAGCGGTAATTAATATGTGTTTACATTCTCTAAGGGGAATTAAGAATGAACATAAGACAATGTGGTTGGTTTCTTTTAAAGAGGTATGCAAGCAGCACATGAATGATACAGGTATTTAGGTGGATTCCCCAGAACAGGATATGAAGGACCCTGTTGCATGGAAGGGGAACATGAGAAAAGAATGGGTCAAGGAGAAAGTTTTTGCAGTTAGGTTCAGAGTTGAGCATCTGAGAAGTCAATGTGTGCAGCAGCAACAGATGCCAAAGTTGCTTGCTCTCTTGGAGAAGATTTTTGTGAATGTGAACAAGTCTGGCTAGCCACACTCACCATCATTATGGGCTGCCACTGCCATGGCTGTGTATAGCACAGTACAGCCCCATTGTGTGGACAGACAGGAAGGTGCCAATATCAGATGTCATCTTTCTGGTTAACAACTTCTTGTGTATTTGAACAAAGAAGACACAAACAATTTATTGCCTGGCATATTTTGCTGTATCTCGTCAGGTGCATATTACAGTAACAATTACATAAATGAAGCAAATAAGTGAATCCTTTATAACTGAAGTACAATTTCAACAACGATCAAACATGACTGCCTATTTTTACCAGGGCAGCCATAAAGAAAGAACCATCTCTTTCTGAATACAGAGTTCCGGGTGCAGGTGACGAATCGCCGAAACTTCGAGAAATCTTAGTGTTCTGCCATTGGTTGACGTATGAGGGATTTGAAATAATTTAAGTCACCACACCAGGCAATAAATTGTGCAATCTATTGTTTGTGTCTTCTTTGTTCAAGTTTATAGCGGAGAAACATTGCTTTGAACTTCTTGTGTGTTAATTTTACAATGTTTTGAGTGTAACAGGGTTGTCTGTGTGTTAGTTATTTACATTTAACAGTTGTGACCGTTAATCTCCTGTGTGTTTCATCTGCCAGCCATTGATGTGTCATTTGGTACAGTATTCTGCTTTGTATGCGGGGACTATGTCTACGATTCACAGCTGGAGGAGATTGCCAGAATCCAGAGCCAGGCGGCAACTCAGTCACTGGGTACAGCTTTGTTCTGTTTTTTTAATTTTTTATATAGATTGAATCTATTATCCAGTGATCAAACTCATTTGCCACAATCTGCTACTGAATACAGAGTTCCGCGTGCAGGTGACGAATGGTGGAAGTTTTGAGCTACTGAATACAGAGTTCCGCGTGCAGGTGACGAATGGTGGAAGTTTTGAGCTACTGAATACAGAGTTCCGCGTGCAGGTGACGAATGGTGGAAGTTTTGAGCTACTGAGTACAGAGTTCCACGTGCAGGTGACGAATGGTGAAGTTTTGAGCTACTGAATACAGAGTTCCGCGTGCAGGTGACGAATGGTGGAAGTTTTGAGCTACTGAGTACAGAGTTCCGCGTGCAGGTGACGAATGGTGGAAGTTTTGAGCTACTGAATACAGAGTTCCGCGTGCAGGTGACGAATGGTGGAAGTTTTGAGCTACTGAGTACAGAGTTCCGCGTGCAGGTGACGAATGTTGGAAGTTTTGAGCTAATGAGTACAGAGTTCCGCGTGCAGGTGACGAATGTTGGAAGTTTTGAGCTACTGAGTACAGAGTTCCGCGTGCAGGTGACGAATGGTGGAAGTTTTGAGCTACTGAGTACAGAGTTCCGCGTGCAGGTGACGAATGGCGGAAGTGCCGAGCTACTGAGAGTGCCACATTACATAGTTTTAAACGAGAAATGTAGATAAGCTGTAACTTTGTCATAGATTATCAGACAGTTGAAATTTGACACACAGCAGTGATTTGTTTAATCCTTAACTTGCCTTGGCTTGCATGCTGTGAAACAAGTTCATTGGTTCTTTACCATCAGTTAACTGACCAGATATTGACATCTCTGCTTGTAATTGAGACAAGAGACATGGTTCTTTACCATCAGTTAACTGACCAGATATTGACATCTCTGCTTGTAATTGAAGCAGAGACATGGTTCTTTACCATCAGTTAACTGACCAGATATTGACATCTCTGCTTGTAATTGAAGCAGAGACATGGTTCTTTGCCATCAGTTAACTGACCAGATATTGACATCTCTGCTTGTAATTGAGACAAGAGACATGGTTCTTTACCATCAGTTAACTGACCAGATATTGACATCTCTGCTTGTAATTGAGGCAGAGACATGGTTCTTTACCATCAGTTAACTGACCAGATATTGACATCTCTGCTTGTAATTGAAGCAGAGACATGGTTCTTTGCCATCAGTTAACTGACCAGATATTGACATCTCTGCTTGTAATTGAAGCAGAGACATGGTTCTTTGCCATCAGTTAACTGACCAGATATTGGCATCTCTGCTTGTAATTGAGGCAGAGACATGGTTCTTTGACCCATCAGTTAACATGGTTCTTTACCATCAGTTAACAGATGACAGATATTGGCATCTCTGCTTGTAATTGAGGTAGAGACATTAACTGACCAGATATTGGCATCTCTGCTTGTAATTGAGGTAGAGACATGGTTCTTTACCATCAGATATTGGCATCTCTGCTTGTATTGAGGTAGAGACATGGTTCTTTGCCATCAGTTAACTGACCAGATATTGACATCTCTGCTTGTAATTGAGGTAGAGACATGGTTCTTTACCATCAGTTAACTGACCAGATATTGACATCTCTCCTTGTAATTGAGACAAGAGACATGGTTCTTTACCATCAGTTAACTGACCAGATATTGACATCTCTGCTTGTAATTGAGACAAGAGACATGGTTCTTTGCCATCAGTTAACTGACCAGATACTGGACTCTGCTTGTAATGATTAGAGACATGGTTCTTACCCATCAGTTAACTGACCAGATATTCCTTGTAATTGAGGTAGAGACATGGTTCTTTACCATCAGTTAACTGACCAGATATTGGCATCTCTGCTTGTAATTGAGGTAGAGACATTGGTTCTTTACCATCAGTTAACTGACCAGATATTGGCATCTCTGCTTGTAATTGAGGTAGAGACATGGTTCTTTGCCATCAGTTAACTGACCAGATATTGGCATCTCTGCTTGTAATTGAGACAAGAGACATGGTTCTTTACCATCAGTTAACTGACCAGATATTGACATCTCTGCTTGTAATTGAGAGACATGGTTTCTTTACCAGAGACAGATATTGACATCTCTGCTTGTAATTGAGGTAGAGACATGGTTCTTTTCTTTGACCAGATATTGGCATCTCTGCATTCAGTTCTTTACCATTAACTGACCAGATATTGGCATCTCTGCTTGTAATTGAGGTAGAGACATGTTCTTTACCATCAGTTTACCATCTTGTAATTGAGTTAACTGATCTTTACCATCAGTTAACTGACCAGCATCTCTGCTTGTAATTAGAGAGTTCTTTACCATAGAGACATGGCATCTTCTTGTAATTGAGACAAGAGACATTTGCCATCAGTTAACTGACCAGATATTGGCATCTCTGCTTGTAATTGAGACAAGAGACATGGATCTTTGCCATCAGTTAACTGACCAGATATTGGCATCTCTGCTTGTAATTGAGGTAGAGACATGGTTCTTTACCATCAGTTAACTGACCAGATATTGGCATCTCTGCTTGTAATTGAGGTAGAGACATGGTTCTTTGCCATCAGTTAACTGACCAGATATTGGCATCTCTGCTTGTAATTGAGGTAGAGACATGGATCTTTGCCATCAGTTAACTGACCAGATATTGGCATCTCTGCTTGTAATTGAGGTAGAGACATGGTTCTTTGCCACTGACCAGTTAACTTGAGACAAGAGATGGTTCTTTGCCATCAGTTAACTGACCAGATATTGGCATCTCTGCTTGTAATTGAGGTAGAGACATGGTTCTTTGCCATCAGTTAACTGACCAGATCTCTGCTTGTAAGATATTGTTCTTTGCCATCAGTTAACTGACCAGATATTGGCATCTCTGCTTGTAATTGAGACAAGAGACATGGTTCTTTGCCATCAGTTAACTGACCAGATATTGGCATCTCTGCTTGTAATTGAGACAAGAGACATGGTTCTTTACCATCAGTTAACTGACCAGATATTGGCATCTCTGCTTGTAATTGAGACAAGAGAGACTGATGGCATCTCTCCTTGTAATTGAGACAAGAGACATGGTTCTTTACCATCAGTTAACTGACCAGATATTGACATCTCTGCTTGTAATTGAGGTAGAGACATTGGTTCTTTACCATCAGTTAACTGACCAGATATTGGCATCTCTGCTTGTAATTGAGACAAGAGACATGGTTCTTTACCATCAGTTAACTGACCAGATATTGACATCTCTGCTTGTAATTGAGACAAGAGACATGGTTCTTTACCATCAGTTAACTGACCAGATATTGACATCTCTGCTTGTAATTGAGACAAGAGACATGGTTCTTTACCATCAGTTAACTGACCAGATATTGACATCTCTGCTTGTAATTGAGACAAGAGACATGGTTCTTTACCATCAGTTAACTGACCAGATATTGACATCTCTGCTTGTAATTGAGGTAGAGACATGGTTCTTTACCATCAGTTAACTGACCAGATATTGACATCTCTGCTTGTAATTGAGGTAGAGACATGGTTCTTTACCATCAGTTAACTGACCAGATATTGACATCTCTGCTTGTAATTGAGGTAGAGACATGGTTCTTTACCATCAGTTAACTGACCAGATATTGACATCTCTGCTTGTAATTGAGGTAGAGACATGGTTCTTTACCATCAGTTAACTGACCAGATATTGACATCTCTGCTTGTAATTGAGGTAGAGACTTGGTTCTTTACCATCAGTTAACTGACCAGATATTGACATCTCTCCTTGTAATTGAAGCAGAGACTTGGTTCTTTACCATCAGTTAACTGACCACATATTTTCATCTTGACCTTCACGCTGTGGATCAAGTTCACAGGTGCTTAGCAAGGAGTTAACTAACCACATATTGGCAGTTCTGCTTGGAAATGAGATTATTCGGAGAGGCATTAATGAAGGCTAATATTATCTATTTCAGACTCCTAAGTTACCTTGGTTTGAGTTGAGCCTTAAGAACTGACAACACAGCACTCAGGACAGTCCCATAAGCGCTCCGTCCCCATCTACAGCCAGCTAAGAGTTCCAGCTCTGGTGGTGCCATTAACAGACTGAATATAAGTCTATCTTGACTTTCCTCTATGTGAAGTGTCTGTCAGATTCCCTAGTCACTCCCTGTTGCATCATTCTATTCAGACCCTGATAGTTCACTACCTCCTAAAGAGCCTTGACAGCATCTAGCTTGTGGTGCATCAGTTTACCACCAAGTGGTGCAGAGCCAGCTAGTCGGTCTGACTTCATTTCCCAACACACCTGCATTACCTGGAGAAAATATCCAAAGGATGTTAACTACCCTAGACTTCTAAAGCGATGAGTGCCACTCTCCACGAAGCATATCTGTCGCTGCCTTTCTCAGCAGGCTGTGCCAGTCAGTCACAATCACAGCATGTGTGTGCAGCTTAAACCAGCTGAAGGCTGATTGACAGCTTGAAAATGTTTTAAAGCAACTAATTTTTACAATTGTATAGACACAGGTATAGTTTCACCAACTTTCCAGTAGTAGTTTTATCACTAAATTCTTGATGGATAGTTTTATCTCAGCATTCCTGATTTGTAGTTTCCCTAACATTGCTGATGTATAGTTTTCTGGACACTTGAAGGGTAATTTCCCCAACACCCCATGTGTTAAAGTGATTTAGTCAATATCCTCAGGTCTTCGCCAAAGATTTTTTCCGTGGGAGCCAACAGAGGAGGAGATGATCCTGCTGCGATGTAACCCCAAACGTCGACGAGTCACAGAATCGTCTCACATTGGTAAGGCATGCCACACCTGTCTCTGCACAATCTGTGTGTAACTCATGCTCTGGCAGACACATCCCTCTCAGAATTCCTCCTATAGTTCATCCCTCGTCCCTCCCCTCACAACACTCGTGGTGTTTGTCTAATCTGCACTCAATTTCTAGTCTCGAAGAGGTGACAAATAAAGACAGTGGGATACTTGCTGTACAGGGATAGAAGAGGTGACAAATAAAGACAGTAGGATACTTGCTGTACAGGGATAGAAGAGGTGACAAATAAAGACAGTAGGATACTTGCTGTACAGGGGTAGAAGGGATAAAGACAAGATAGGTACAGGGGTAGAAGAGGCGAGAAATAAAGACAGTAGGATACTTGCTGTACAGGGATAGAAGAGGTGACAAATAAAGACAGTAGGATACTTGCTGTACAGGGATAGAAGAGGCGAGAAATAAAGACAGTAGGATACTTGCAGCACAGGGATAGAAGAGGTGACAAATAAAGACAGTAGGATACTTGCTGTACAGGGATAGAAGAGGCGAGAAATAAAGACAGTAGGATACTTGCTGTACAGGGATAGAAGAGGTGACAAATAAAGACAGTAGGATACTTGCTGTACAGGGATAGAAGAGGTGACAAATAAAGACAGTAGGATACTTGCTGTACAGGGATAGAAGAGGTGACAAATAAAGACAGTAGGATACTTGCAGCACAGGGATAGAAGAGGTGACAAATAAAGACAGTAGGATACTTGCTGTACAGGGATAGAAGAGGTGACAAATAAAGACAGTAGGATACTTGCAGCACAGGGATAGAAGAGGTGACAAATAAAGACAGTAGTACTTGGATACTTGCTGAAGGGATAGAAGAGGCGAGAAATAAAGACAGTAGGATACTTGCTGTACAGGATAGAAGAGGACAAATAAAGACAGTAGGATACTTGCAGCACAGGGATAGAAGAGGTGACAAATAAAGACAGTAGAATACTTGCTGTACAGGGATAGAAGAGGCGAGAAATAAAGACAGTAGGATACTTGCAGCACAGGGATAGAAGAGGTGACAAATAAAGACAGTAGAATACTTGCTGCACAGGGATAGAAGAGGCGAGAAATAAAGACAGTAGGATACTTGCAGCACGGGGATAAAAGAGGTGACAAATAAAGACAGTAGGATACTTGCTGTACAGGGATAGAAGAGGTGACAAATAAAGACAAGTTACAAAAGTGATCAGATTTCTAAGAAATGAACTCAAAGAGGAAACTTGCAATAATAGAAGAGAGCATGATATTAATATACCATGCTGTTGTCTTTGTACAGGTCTCCGAGGTCTGATCAACCTGGGCAACACTTGCTTCATGAACTGCATCCTGCAGTCGCTGGCACACACGCCCATACTGCGAGATTATTTCATGGCAGACAAGCATGCCTGTCAGAAGGCAGATGAGTCTCAACAGTGCCTTGTTTGTGAGATGGCACGCTTGTATCAAGAGGTATGTCCATCCATCTATTTCTTTTGTTACTTTTTTTGTTCTGTCTTCAGCATAGTTTTGTTGTGGTTGAGTTTTTATAGTTTTAGAAAAGAATGTATTAGTTTCATGGCTCCTAAAGCATTTAATTTAACCTAATTGCTTAGTTTTGTGGTTTCTGATACATAAGAGAAGTCTGTATTTTGCTACTTGTAAATGTACACTTGATATTATAATAATTTCAATGTGAACTTCTTGTGAATAACAGCCTCGTGCCTTGTATATCAGCATCTATAAGATTGTATTAGCCATTGTTAACTATCTTGTATCTTACCATTTGGAGATGTTTTTAATCTCTTCTTGTGAGATTTGATTGAATGAAAATATATGTTTGTGGTTACTGTTTTGTTATTTCTGCTGAAAGATTCAGTAAATTCACTTGTGAGTTCAGATAGAGAAGACAGAGAAAAGGCCTCACCAGTCATGTAAGAGATTCATTGTTTGTTGTCAGTTTTACTCTGGATCTCGAACGCCTTACATCCCATACAAACTGCTACACTTGGTGTGGACTAATGCCCGACACCTGGCTGGCTACGAACAACAGGACGCTCATGAGTTTCTCATTGCTGCCCTGGATGTGCTGCATAGGCACTGTAAAGGTATTTTGTCTGAGAATCCTGCCTTGAAGTTGGCCTGTATGTTATGTTGGTGGGCTGGTGGGTGTTATGTTGGTGGGCTGGTGTGTATGTTATGTTGGTGGGCTGGCATGTGTGTTATGTTGGTGGGCTGGCGTGTGTGTTATGTTGGTGGACTGGTGTGTATGTTATGTTGGTGGGCTGGTGTGTATGTTATGTTGGTGGGCTGGCATGTGTGTTATGTTGGTGGGCTGGCATGTGTGTTATGTTGGTGGGCTGGCATGTGTGTTATGTTGGTGGGCTGGCCTGTATGTTATGTTGGTGGGCTGGCCTGTATGTTATGTTGGTGGGCTGGCCTGTATGTTATGTTGGTAGGCTGGCCTGTATGTTATGTTGGTGGGCTGGCCTGTATGTTATGTTGGTGGGCTGGCCTGTATGTTATGTTGGTGGGCTGGCCTGTATGTTATGTTGGTAGGCTGGCCTGTATGGTTATGTTGGTGGGCTGGCCTGTATGTTATGTTGGTGGGCTGGCCTGTATGGTTATGTTGGTGGGCTGGACTGTATGGTTATGTTGGTGGGCTGGCCCGTATGTTGTATTGGTGGGCTGGCCCATATGTTGTGTTGGTGGGCTGGCCCGTATGTTTATTTTGGTGGGCTGGCCCGTATGTTATGTTGGTGGGCTGGCCCGTATGTTATATTGGTAGGCTGGCCCGTATGTTATATTGGTAGGCTGGCCTGTATGTTATATTGGTAGGCAGGCCTGTATGTTTATGTTGGTGGGCTGGCCTGTATGTTTATGTTGGTGGGCTGGCCTGTATGTTATGTTTGTGGGCTGGCCTGTATGTTATGTTTGTGGGCTGGCCTGTATGTTATGTTGGTGAGCTGGCCTGTATGTTATGTTGGTGGGCTGGCCTGCTTGTGTATGGTGACCATGACTGAATCTGTAGTAAAGCTACTGTAGCTAACTTTGGTTATTTTAATCATATGTATCTGACTAATGTCTTATCAAGCTTTGTGAGTAAATGTTTGTTTAGACTAAGTCAGTAGTTTTGATCTAAAACCATGAGAACAGATTTTTTTCCATCGGCTGCGGGATGTGAACTCCAGCACCTGATGATCATGAAATTGTTAATCACATTCACTAGCCTCTAAGTCAGGAAGATGCACACTCGTCTGATCCTATGACTGCATTTATTTCCTGGGTGTCACAAGTATGGGTGTGTGTGTGGTCATATTTCCTGGGTGTCACAAGTATGGGTGTGTGTGGTCATATTTCCTGGATATCACAAGTATGGGTGTGTGTGTGTGGTCATATTTCCTGGATGTCACAAGTATGGGTGTGTGTGTGGTCATATATCCTGGGTGTCACAAGTATGGGTGTGTGTGTGGTCATATTTCCTGGATGTCACAAGTATGGGTGTGTGTGTGTGGTCATATTTCCTGGATGTCACAAGTATGGGTGTGTGTGTGGTCATATTTCCTGGATGTCACAAGTATGGGTGTGTGTGTGTGGTCATATTCCTGGGTGTCACAAGTATGGGTGTGTGTGTGGTCATATTTCCTGGATGTCACAAGTATGGGTGTGTGTGTGTGGTCATATTTCCTGGATGTCACAAGTATGGGTGTGTGTGTGGTCATATTTCCTGGATGTCACAAGTATGGGTGTGTGTGTGTGGTCATATTTCCTGGGTGTCACAAGTATGGGTGTGTGTGGTCATATTTCCTGGGTGTCACAAGTATGGGTGTGTGTGTGTGTGGTCATATTTCCTGGATGTCACAAGTATGGGTGTGTGTGTGTGTGTGGTCTGTTGTGTGCAATATATGGGTATATGAAAGGGAAGTTCATTATTGAACGTAAACACTTGGTGCAGTGCAGGACACATTGAACGCAATGTGAAGAGAGAGAAAAACGGTTGGCTCCAAGTCCCCGGAGAGGAAGGATGCGGTGATGTAGGTTCTAGTCTGGGTGTTGCCAGACTAGTCCTGCACACCGCATGTTACGCTGGCGGTAGGCATACAGGCTATCGGCGAGAGATGCCGCAGTGGCTGGGCCAGCGTGACAGAAGCTCGTGTGGTGAGATGGGAGATATCAAGTACGTGTCAGGCCGCAGACGGAAGGTCTGGATAATCTTCACAAGGTATTGTGCATCGGCCTGTATGATCTTTCTAGTGACAGTGTACCCAAAAGATGGGTGTCATAGAGACAGACACGTACTCACGAGCAGTGGGTTTGCACGAGCAGGTAATGTTTGCTCGTTGTTAACCACGGAACAGGGTGGCAGTAGAAGTAGTCCGGAGTGTGTGTTGCCTTGCCAGTAGGAATGACTGTGGCAGTATAGAAATTCATGTGGATTCATTGTTTTGGTTTTGAAATACATTAATTATATTTTGACGTTCAACATGTATCCAGCGTCCTTTATTGCTGTTGGGCGGGAGTGGTGACTTTGATCTGTAACACTATTAAGCATACCTGGATCCTTGGCAAGTGTGCGGTGCATCAAGCGAGCATTTCGCACACGTCATGGTCATATTTCCTGGTTGTCACAAGTATGGGTGTGTGTGTGGTCATATTTCCTGGGTGTCACAAGTATGGGTGTGTGTGGTCATATTTCCTGGATGTCACAAGTATGGATGTGTGTGTGGTCATATTTCCTGGGTGTCACAAGTATGGGTGTGTGTGTGGTCATATTTCCTGGATGTCACAAGTATGGGTGTGTGTGTGTGGTCATATTTCCTGGATGTCACAAGTATGGGTGTGTGTGTGGTCATATTTCCTGGATGTCACAAGTATGGGTGTGTGTGTGTGGTCATATTTCCTGGGTGTCACAAGTATGGGTGTGTGTGGTCATATTTCCTGGGTGTCACAAGTATGGGTGTGTGTGTGGTCATATTTCCTGGGTGTCACAAGTATGGGTGTGTGTGTGTGTGGTCATATTTCCTGGATGTCACAAGTATGGGTGTGTGTGTGTGGTCTGTTGTGTGCAATATGTGGGTATATGAAAGGGAAGTTCATTATTGAACGTAAACACTTGGTGCAGTGCAGGACACATTGAACGCAATGTGAAGAGAGAGAAAAATGGTTGGCTCCAAGTCCCCGGAGAGGAAGGATGCAGTGATGTAGGTTCTAGTCTGGGTGTTGCCAGACTAGTCCTGCACACCGCATGTTACGCTGGCGGTAGGCATACAGGCTATCGGCGAGAGATGCCGCAGTGGCTGGGCCAGCGTGACAGAAGCTCGTGTGGTGAGATGGGAGATATCAAGTACGTGTCAGGCCGCAGACGGAAGGTCTGGATAATCTTCACAAGGTATTGTGCATCGGCCTGTATGATCTTTCTAGTGACAGTGTACCCAAGGGATGGGTGTCATAGAGACAGACACGTACTCACGAGCAGTGGGTTTGCACGAGCAGGTAATGTTTGCTCGTTGTTAACCACGGAACAGGGTGGCAGTAGAAGTAGCCTAGAGCATCCGGAGTGTGTGTTGCCTTGCCAGTAGGAATGACTGTGGCAGTATAGAAATTCATGTGGATTCATTGTTTTGGTTTTGAAATACATTAATTATATTTTGACGTTCAACATGTATCCAGCGTCCTTTATTGCTGTTGGGCGGGAGTGGTGACTTTGATCTGTAACACTATTAAGCACACCTGGATACTTGGCAAGTGTGCGGTGCATCAAGCGAGCATTTCGCACACGTCATGGTCATATTTCCTGGGTGTCACAAGTATGGGTGTGTGTGTGGTCATATTTCCTGGGTGTCACAAGTATGGGTGTGTGTGGTCATATTTCCTGGGTGTCACAAGTATGGGTGTGTGTGTGTGGTCATATTTCCTGGATGTCACAAGTATGGGTGTGTGTGTGGTCATATTTCCTGGGTGTCACAAGTATGGGTGTGTGTGTGGTCATATTTCCTGGATGTCACAAGTATGGGTGTGTGTGTGGTCATATTTCCTGGATGTCACAATTATGGGTGTGTGTGGTCATATTTCCTGGGTGTCACAAGTATCGGTGTGTGTGGTCATATTTCCTGGTTGTCACAAGTATAGGTGTGTGTGGTCATATTTCCTGGTTGTCACAATTATGAGTGTGTGTGGTCATATTTCCTAGGTGTTACAATTATGGGTGTGTGTGGTCATATTTCCTGGGTGTCACATGTATGGGTGTGTGTGGTAATATTTCCTGGTTGTCACAAGTATGGGTGTGTGTGGTAACTGAATATTATCTGTGGTCATAAGGAAACATTTTCTAGTTGAAATAGACATTACTAAATTGACTCTGTTATTGTGAATGTGTTGTTAAATGTGGATGTCTCATTATGGGAACTATTATATCTTGTGCTGGCAACTACAGTGTAAATTGTGTGTTTTGGTTGATATATATATATATATATATATTTGGGAGGGAGGGAGAGATCATGCATTTTTTTTTTCAGTGTCTTCGCCCAAATCAAATTTGAAGATATTGCTTACGAGAATATGAAAGTGCGTTTAAATTACATCAAACGAACGGCCGAATGATGGTTTTGAAAGAGGCGGGAGCCCGAAGACAACTAATCACAGACATCAGAAGGAGATAGTGGTCATTTTTCAGCCATGTTATGAGAAGAGGGAAAATGGAACATTTAGTGACCACTGGAAAGATCTGTGGAAGGAGGGATAGAGGAAGACAACGATAAAGATTCTTGACAGTCTTGTTGCAAGGCCTGGAGGTGTTTCAGCACACGAACTAATACCTGCTGCAGGAGATAGCAGATTGTGGAGAGGCATGATCGCACACGCCAGTCGGCAAGTCACCTGATGATGATGATACACTATTCTTATTCGTATTCGGCCAAATAGTTGGTCACACTATTCCTATTCGGCCGAATAGTGAAAATCACTATTCGGTACAGCCCTAATATATATATATATATATAAAGTAAAGTTCCCTTTTCACGCCTTTCGGCGCAGAGCGTCCCATATTTTTAGACCATCAGCACTCTGTGGGTAATGTGGTCAGCATTACGCCGGCTGACTTTACTTTCCCAGGACAGCCCATCCTGGTACCCATTTTAGGCTGGGTCGACCTGCGACGTCCCATACCACGATAAAAATCCACGCAGCCTGCAGTGGGTTTTGATCGCGGTATGCTGGCTTACGAGTCGGACTCGCAATGCCTTGCAATGCCTTAGCCACGGACGCCGCTATATATATATATATATATATATATATATATATATATATATTTATAAATGTGTGTGCGCGCGCGCAAGACTATGATTATGTATGTCTATATGTCGGGGTGGTGATGGTTCTCTTTTCCTAATTCTTTCTGATTTATAACATTACCTGGCCTTCCAAGTCAATTGCCTGTCTGTACTGACTTGATTTGATTTCTCTACCAGAAATGAATGGGGTCAGTGACAGCAACCCCCATCAGTGTAACTGCATCATCGACAGAATTTTCACTGGTGGACTGCAGTCTGACGTCACATGTAAGCGCTGCAAGTAAGTCTTGGCGGCAGGCCTGTGTACAGTAGTGACATGCTGTTTGTTTGACAGAATTTTTGCCTTGAGATCTCAAACCTGGATCAATGCAGTTTTTGACTAGAGAACACTGATAAGATAATTTGTCATGTATGAAACTTATGGCTCTGAGTATAACATAAAAAAAAATTAATAAAAAAAAAATGAAGCTTTTTTTGCAAACTTTTGAGAACCGGGTCTTGTGGTGGACCAATGAGAGATGACAAATGGCAATGAGAATCAACGATGAAATAGATAACCTGTTTAAATGACTATCCTTATTATAAATGGCAATGAGAATCAACGATGAAATAGATAACCTGTTTATGTGACTATCACTTAGTTACTGGCATCATGAGGCACAATAAACTAAATGATTGGAGCATATAGAGAGAACAGCAGATTCTGAAACAGTATACACAAAAGAGCTGAATAGTAATAAACCTTGAGGCAAACAGAAGATTGTGGAGAGAGAATATTCAAACAGACCTTCAAACAGTCAACATCAGCAGCTGGAAAGAGAAAGCCGATCTCAGAAAAAAAGGAAGATGGGGATTTATACAGCAGTCAATCTCAAGATCTTTGCAGGGGGAAGATGGAGGTCTCCGTGGTGAAGTAGTCAAGCCATTTGCCTCACACTTTAAAGGTCATGGGTTCGTTTAACGGCTGCACTGTTCAGTTCATGAGTGCAGTTTGATCATCACCGGAGCTACAGAGTTTGTGCTCTATGCAATGCTCTCGGCAGGCAGCTGGTCGTTCTGCTGAGAGAGACCGAGCAATATGGGGTCAAACCCGGTGCAAGGACGTCAATTCTCTGGACTTTAACTTTAGAAGAAAGAGAATAATCGACTGTTATATGATCTAGCAAATACAGTAGTTTAGAGCTGCCATATTTGGCTGATCTAGAGCTGCAGTAGCTTTATACCCCTTCAAAGTCATCTATCTCTGGCCGGACTCCAGCCTCGTCAAGTGAAAGCCAGACAATGTTTGGGATGAAAAGTGGTCAGTGTGACACTGGCTATACCAGATACTGGATGCCCTTCTGTGACACCTGTGGCTTGTCAGTTTCATTGATTGCCTGTGTCTGCTATATTGTATTATAGTACTTACTTACTTAGTCGCTCCTCTTCTACCTTGGGGTGTAGAGGTTTGCCAGAGAGATCGCCAGACGTCTCTATCCGCAGTTTTCTTTCTGGCTTTGTTCCATTCCAGTCCTCTGTCAGTTAGGGACTGTCGGATGTTGTCTTCCCAGCGCACCCTGGGTCGTCCCGGAGGTCTGGTTCCCTGGTTCTTAGCCTCCCATGCTTGCCATGTTGGCCGATTTTCTCCCATTCTGCATACATGTCCAAACCATCGTAACTGTGACTGATCTACTCGGGTTAGTAAGGGCTGGGTATCAAGATCTTGACGTATTGTTTGATTGCGGACTTTGTCCCTTCTTGTCACTTGGACCACCTTTCTCAGGTTTCTCATTTCCGAGGCCTGCAGCTGGCTTCTGTGAGCTGTTGTCATTGCCCATGACTCACACCCATAGGTCAGGACTGGTACATAGGTAGAGCGGTAAACAGCCATTTTCATCCTCTTGCCAATTTCTCTTTTGCTAAGAAACCCTCGGTTTATGGCCTGGAAGAGTCTCCCAGCAGCTGCTTTTCGTGTAGCCAGCTCAGTCTTAATGCCTCCATTTTGGTCTAATACAACTCCAATTTATTTGAACTGGTTAACCTGCTCCAGTGCATACTGTCCCATCATGATCTGGTGTTTCTTCTCCTCTCTTGAGATCACCATGGTTTTAGTTTTGGAGATACTGATGGTCATACCTTTCTTTTCAAGCTCTTCCTTCCAGACAAGTAAGTTGGACTGAAGGTGTGCCTCTGATTTAGCTATCAGGGCCACATCGTCTACAAAAGCCAGCTCTGATATACAGATTGGTCTCATCTTCCAGTACCCTACAGAGTACTTCTTTGTCTTCTCCTTACAGGTCTTGATGACATCATCCATCATAAGAATGAAGAGGTAAGGTGAGAGAATATCACCTTGTCTAACACCGCTGGCGGTCTTGAATTCTTCTGACTTTTAGTCTGCTGTTCTTACATAATTTCTGCACCTTTTGTAGAAACTCTGTATTGCACTGATCAGGGGTGCTGGGATGTTTTTCCCTGCCAAGCAGTCCCAGAGCTTGTTCCAGGGTACCTTGTCAAATGCCTTTTCCAGATCCAAAAAACATAAGTGCATCTCACTCTTATATTCCAAGGCTTTTTCACTCATCTGTCTCAGTGTGAAGATAAGGTCTTGAGTACTTCGGTTTGCTCTGAAGCTGCATTGGGCAGCTCAAGAATTCTAGAGTAACTTTTACCTGGATCGCTGAGGAGGGATATGCCTCTGTGGTTTTCACATTGTCTGTTATCATCTTTTTCAAATATAGGTATAATGATGGCATTCTCCCAATCTTTTGGTATAGTTTTGCTACACCAGGCTGCCTGGAGAACCTTCAGTAGAAGGCGCTCACCTTCGGCTCCTAAATATTTGACCATCTCTGGTGTTATACCATCATGACCTGCTGCTTTTCCCAGCTTAATCTTCTCAATAGCTGCCTTCAATTGTTCCATCCTGATGTTATCTTCCCCATGATTGAATTCCTTCTCAGCAGTGAGGTCCATTATATCTGGGTCATGACTTCCCTCAACGCAGAGGAGCTCTGAGAAGTATTCTTTCCATCTGCCCATGATATCATTTGTAGAAGTAAGCAGAGCCCCTTCCTTGTCTTTTATGAATTTAAGTGGGCACTCTTTCTCCTTCCTCATGTTCTTAAGGGTCTTGTAGAACAGTTTTCGGTTTTCTCTTGCATTCTTTTCCAACTTTTCTCCAAACTCTTCCCATGATTTCTGTTTTGCTTTAAGCACAATATTTTTGGTCTCTGTTCTGAGTGCCACATATTGTTTATATTTTTCTATTTCTTCAGCTGTGTTCCTGGCTGCCAGGTATTGCTTCCATGCCCTTTTCTTTTCTCCTATTTTCAATTTGACTTCTTCCGTCCACCAAGGTGTCCTATGTCCCCGCCTTCCACTCGGGACTTCACCACATGCTTCTACTGCAGCTGCTGTGAGGATATTCTTGAATCTGCACCAGAGGGTTTCAGTGTCCTCTGATGATTCTTCTTCAGTTCCTATTGCTTTCACTATTAGCTCCTGGTATCTAGCCTTAATATCTGGCTCTCTTAGCTTGTATGCTTTAATCCTCATCCCTTCTTGGTTACTTGGTTTCTTGCACGGTTGTCAGTGTTGCCTTGTTGGAGCAGTTCTTTCAGTTGTTCTCTTTATTGTGACCAGATAGTGGTCACTTCCAATCTCTGGTCCTCTCATGACTCTGGCATCTCTCACAAACTTGAATGAACTTTTCCTAACTATGGCGTAGTCATTGATGGATTTTTCATTCTTTGAAGGTTCACATCTTGTGTATGCATGTATACGCTTGTGGGGGAATTTTGTGTTTGTAATGACAAGGTTCTGTTCCCTGCAGAATCTGAGAAGTCGCTTGCCATTATCATTCAAAACATCTTCACCATATCTCCCGATCACTCCACCCCATCTAGAGTGATCATTTCCTACTCTGGCATTTAGATCTCCTAGGAGGATAATTTCATCGTGACAGTCATCTATGGTCCTTTGGAGCAGTTCAAAGAATTCTTCTTTAACATCTACTCGCTCATCTTTATTTGGCCCGTATACAATGACAAAATTGACAATTTTATCTTCTTCTTTCAGATCTAACACCATTATTCGCTCTGAGATGAATTTCCATCCCTTGATGTTACTAACATTATTCCTGGCCACAATACAGCCAACACCTCCCTTGGCTCTCTCTCCATCATAGGGACACCACTGTAGAGCAGCATACTTCCATCGTGATCTGTGATTCCTTGCCCCTTTTTCTTGGTTTCAGTCAGAGCCAAGACTCCTAATTTTGCTTTCCTCATCTCCCCTACTAACTCGTTTTCCTTTCCCTTAATGCCTCTTATATTCCATGTTCCATAAATCGTAATCCGTAAGCCATGCCAGTTCGTCGCCGATAAGATCCGTCCGGTTTTCTCTCTGTAGTTACTTGTAATCGTGGTTTAAGGCAAACAGGTGATTGGCCTGTTGTGCCTTTGCATGGTGGAGGGGCGGCCTCCATGCAGACCGTCTGGCTGATTCACGGTTACCCACTACTTCCGGAGGCGCATGAAGCACTCAGGTTCAGCCAGACCCTCCTCCTTTTACAGCCGGGCTTGGGACCGGTCTTAGCGGAGTTTTGTATTATAGTAACATTTAGTATTCTTCAGCTACCTGTTTTTGTATGCATGAATGAATCAAGAATTGACGTACAGCGCTAGGGCCATTCCGACATTTGCTCCATCTCCTTTCTCAGTAGCCAACAAAGAGTTGACACCCTAATAGTACCAGTTGAGTCCTGATTAAGTCTGCCTATATTCCCTGCTCAGTGGGAAATATCTTCCCAAAGCTCTGCTCGTCCCCCGTTAAATTAGTCTTTCAATGCATAGATTCCCAGTCTTTTCTGTTGTTCGGTTCAAATGTTTGCATATACGCCTCATATCTGCATTTATATTTAACGTTTGAACATATGCATGTTTGTTCACATTGTTTGATCTCATATTTAATTTATTTTTGTGACATATTTCAGCAATGTCTCTACAACAATAGATCCCATATGGGACATATCCCTGGACCTGGGGCCTGGATCCCTGCATTGCTCTCCTGCTCTTCCTGTAGCCATCACGGTCACAGAGACACACAACCCCGGCATCACCAGTGGTCCCGTGTCTATCTCTACCTCACAGTCTTCCACCACCGAACTGCCCCATTCCCCAACTCCAGGTAGGGTTGTGTGTGTGTGTGGTGACATGTACAGTATTTGTAAACTGATCTTGAGAAAGTGACCCGGTACAATTCCATCCAGATAACAGAGTGATTGCACAGAATAGAATGGAGTGAAGAAATAGACTGAGCCCTACGGGACATACAATGAATGGCACACTAGGGCACTGAATGAACAATGAATGAATTGTAGGCTGCGGCAGTGTTTGAGACTAGGTTAAAGGGAAATGTCCTCAGCCTTAAAGGACATTCAAACATGCCCGCTCTTGGCTGGCAAGCAGCAATGCTAACTACACTACAGCGGCTCCCAACTGACAGTAATGAACACAAACAGTGTAGAGTGGCAACCAGCTTCAAGCCAATGAACAACTTCCTGAATGTGCTCAACCCAAATCTGGGCCTCAGTGCTAGTGAGCAAGATGGTTGTAACACATTTGCTGTTAACACCATCATCATCATCAAGTGCCTCACCTCTCTTTGTGGGTTCCAGGGCCTCACTGTATGGAAAGTAACAATAGACAACCTTCCCCCCCCCCCCCCCCCTTCCTCCCCCCAAGACTGTGATGGAAAATGATTAGAAGTTTTTCCTTTGAAACAGAAGTACATCTGTCTGAGAGTTGAGGAACCAACAGTCTGCAGATAAGTAAGCCAGATCTGTCAAATGGCACACAGAACTCAAAGTTTTGGAACAAGTCTTCAGTCCAGAAATGGTCGAGCAACCAGAACTTTCTCCTGAACACTAAAAAGAAAAAATGATTCAAACTATCGTGACCAATCACTGCTAAGCAGAACTCTTCCTATAGCACTGTCTGTCGATTCGTATGCTGCCATACTTCCAGACTATCATGCAACATTGTCCAGAATTTTCTGTCTAATGTTTTGTTTTTAAATTTTTAATCTCATGACTTGTTGATCTTTTCTGACAATATGCCCACTCAAGTCAACTATTTCCTCTTATTGCCAGGTTTCACCAACAGTCCCGGCAACTATGAACCTACCTCACTTGTGGAATGTCTCAAAAGGTTCGTTGCTCATGTAATGTTCTCAGATACATGGACATTACGTAAGCTGTGATTTATTGTTTGGATAAGTCTTACTTGATGTAAATTCTTGGCGTGAAAACCATTCTTGAGAGAAGGCAGAAGGACAGCATGAGGCAGATAGCATTTGAGATCATTTGAAAATATGGACAGGAAAACATCATGGATTGCACTATACTATCACCACTGAGGAACAGCTCTTGCTGGAGGTTCATTGACATGGAATTTGATTGTGAAGGTGACATTTTGTTCTGATCTGTGAAAAAATGTGGTTAGTGAGTGGACTTCTGTTGGCAAGATGTTCTCCTGTGTTGATATCTTTATGCAGCAGCCATGCTTATACCATTCAATGTCAGATAAAAGACAAATGTAGTGGAAGGCAGTGTTTAAATGTGCCAGTAGGTGTATTACAGAGGATGTTAGACTTGAATGTTGTTGAATTAAGAATTGACATCATAGCACTCCAGACGCGCCTATAAGCGCTCCGTCCCCATCTGCAACACCAAACGAAGAATTCAAGTTCAGATGACACCAGTAACTGTCTGATTGTATATCCTTGTTGCCCTTCCCTTGAGTGTTGAGCGTCGGCCAGATCCCCTGGTAACTCCTCACAGCGCCATTCTCCTCAGACCGTAATGATCTGTTAGCGCTTCTGCACTGTTCACTCACTCCCAGAGGGCCCTTACAATGTCTAACTTATCATACATCAATTTACCACTGAGTGGTGCACAACTGGCCATTCTGTCTGCCTGCTCATTTTCCAACACACCGGCATAACCTGGAGAGAATATCCAAAGGATATAACTACCCCTGACCTCTGAAGTTATGCTTGCCACTCTGCATGGAGCATACCTGTCTCCACCTTTCTCAACATGCTCTGTGAGTCAATGACTATCACGGCATGTGTGTGCAGCTGATTCTCAATCCAGCGGAAGGCACCAGTGACTGCCTCCACCTCCATTCTCAAACTAGACATTGTGATATCATATGCAAGGCTTTGCTGCACTAAGCAACGTCCAATCCACTTTGCTATGAACCTCCATGCACTTTGTCTACCACTCAACACAGAAGCCATCTGTATAGATGATCACATCACTTGGGCGGGGATAGTCATGAATCATTTGTTGAACTTTTGATTCTCCAGCACCAGCTGGTCAGTCCCTGCTGCACTCACATCTCAAAGTGATTAGAACCCTACACAAGTCTGAAACTTGCTCGGACAATTTGACCCACTCCTCACCTCACACAAATTTATCAAGCCTGCACACAGGTCTGATTGCGTCATCAGCTGATGCCATCCAAGACCTTCCTCTCTTCAGTCTGTGACCCTTAGATCTACACAGGACTTCATGCAAGAGGTGCTTCTTGTCTGCAGCTACTCTGAGATATGACTTTGCTTGCAAAACTTTGAGCCTATCTCAAAAGTAGGTAGTGCAAGTATATATCACATACATACTACCAGTGTATCTCTTGTACATCCCAGAATTTGTTGAACTTTTGATTCTCCAGCACCAGCTGGTCAGTCCCTGCTGCACTCACATCTCAAAGTGATTAGAACCCTACACAAGTCTGAAACTTGCTCGGACAATTTGACCCACTCCTCACCTCACACAAATTTATCAAGCCTGCACACAGGTCTGATTGCGTCATCAGCTGATGCCATCCAAGACCTTCCTCTCTTCAGTCTGTGACCCTTAGATCTACACAGGACTTCATGCAAGAAGTGCTTCTTGTCTGCAGCTACTCTGAGATATGACTTTGCTTGCAAAACTTTGAGCCTATCTCAAAAGTAGGTAGTGCAAGTATATATCACATACATACTACCAGTGTATCTCTTGTACATCCCAGAATTACCCACATGGCTTCATTCTGTATGCGTTCAAGTTTCATCAGCTGACTCTTTGATAAGTAAGCTCTTTGGTAAGCATTTCAAGTCCATAATCTATATCAAGACAGGATCACATTCTGGAACATTGTGAACAACATTCTTTGTTCCATGTTCGTTGCTGCCATCACCTTGAGAGCATTGAGTCTTTCTTGGCATTTAACCACAACTGCCTCCACTGCATCCCTATAGGAGAGGCTTCTATTGAAAGTGATACCCAGGTACCTCAGTTTGCTTTCTCTGTTGATGTTATTGTTATTAATTGTGAGGCTTGGAACATTAGCTCTTACAATTCTATTGTCCAGGGAGCACCACAAAACAACCGCCTTTTCTGAGTTGATGACAGCACCCATCTCTGCACACCAGTCCGTCACTTAGTCTACAGTTGCCTATAGTTCTTGGGCTATCCGTTACCTATTACCTCCCTGCCTTTACGCAAGAATATCATCAGCAAATGTGAATATCCTTTCAACACCTGGTGCTTCAAGTATTGCAATCTTGCTTGTATACACATTGAAGAGCACTGATGAAATTGCAGAATCCTGGGGTAGTCTCGGGGTGATATTACATGGTTCTGAGGTCCATGTACCCAAACGTAGGGCAACCATATGTGAATGCAGGACAGCTTCTATCCAGTTCACAAGCCAGGGGCAAACCCCCTTCTCCGTAAGTGCAGATAGCAAAATAGCATATCTGACTTTGTTGTAGGCATCCTCAAGATCAAGTGCTGCTACAATGGCCTCCTGTCTATTCTGGAACCCTTCATAAACATCAAAAGCAAAAGTAGCTGCATTTGACCAGGTATCTTTTTGTGGCCGTTAACTACCCAAACTTTTTGGCAGCAGCTCTTCCCTTTCCAAAAACCTTTCTAATGGTATTTTGTAGGGTGATAATCCTGAAGCCGCTTAGTCTGCAATGATCTTTGTCTGGTTTTGGAAGAGGGATTAAGTAGCTGTGTACCCAGTCCTGGGATTGGAACTCTTCGCTGGCTGCTTAAGATGGGGATGGAGTGCTTATGGGAATGCACCAAGTGCTGTGATGTTGGTTCTTGAATCAAATCAATCAGTCAATCTGTAAAATAGATGTGCATGCTAAACCCAAATTCAGGAACAAGACCAAAATCCAAAAGTGGATAAAGAACCAAAATATGCTGCCAGAGTTTACAGCCAGCGAACCTTGGCCAAAGGACAGTTCACTTGTGCTAAAGAAGAGCAGGTTTTTTCGAAAGTTAAAAACAAAGACCTGTTGATCTGACATTACATACTAAGGTAAATAACACCTGTTGATCAAACATTACCAAACTAAAGTAAATAACATCTGTTGATCAAACATTACCAAACTAAAGTAAATAACACCTGTTAATCAAACATTACCAACTTAAAGTAAATAACACCTGTTGATGAAACATTACATACTAAAGTAAATAACACCTGTTGATCAAACATTAACAACTTAAAGTAAATAACACCTGTTGATCAAACTTTACATACTATAGTAAATAACACCTGCTGATCAAACATTACCAACTTAAAGTAAATAAAACCTGTTGATCAAACTTTACATACTATAGTAAATAACACCTACTGATCAAACATTACCAACTTAAAGTAAATAACACCTGTTGATCAAACATTACCAACTTAAAGTAAATAACACCTGTTGATCAAACTTTACATACTATAGTAAATAACACCTGCTGATCAAACATTACCAACTTAAAGTAAATAACACCTGTTGATCAAACATTACCAAACTAAAGTAAATAACATTTGTTGATCAAACATTACCAAACTAAAGTAAATAACACCTGCTGATCAAACATTACCAACTTAAAGTAAATAAAACCTGTTGATAAAACTTTACATACTAGAGTAAATAACACCTGTTGATCAAACATTACCAAATAAAACCTGTTAAAGGAACATTACCTGCCTAAAGTAACTAAAACCTGTTAAAGAAACTTATAGTTAGTTGCGTATCATTTACCGGACATTGCAGGGCCAACCTGAGCCTTTATGTTGTTTGTGTATGCAGTGTGCTTTCTCCAGGCAGATTTTACGTACCGTAGTTTGCCATTGCTCTCTAAATGGTCAGCTCTCAAGACCACTGACAATGAAGCGCAAGACAAATCGCCCGCAGTTGGGATCGCAAAGCCTAAGCTACAGATGACTGCAAAGAAACATGACCCAGCTTAACATAACTGAAATCTGCACAAGAAACATTATCAGCTTAACCTGTTGGAAAATGAAGAACCCTAATACTAGCCAGACATGTGTGCTCTGCTGAATCATGACCTGCTTGTGTCCTGACCTGTGTCAGCAGACCTGCTGTTCCAGCACTGGTCCGGCACATCCCACTGTTTTCTGAGCCAAGGAGAGCTCTGCAACACAGCCTTGGTGAAGATATTACTTTGATGCTGGATCAGGGGGACAAACCTTGACCCGGGAGCCAGTTCTTTGGATTTTATGTGTAACAATTCTGACAGAGGATTCACTAGCATGTTAGCAAGCATATACACTACTGCTGAGTTAGTCAAAGGTCATTATCTATTTGCCAGATGAGGTTGAACTTATTCTACAGTTACATGTCAGAATACAGTATAGACCAACTAATTATTACTTCAAAACAGCAGGGAAAATATCTTATTCTGTAAACTGTTTGATTTTGATGAATGTGACACTGTTTCAAGGTGTATATTGTGATGAATGTGACACTGTTTCAAGGTGTATATTGTGATGAATGTGACACTGTTTCAAGGTGTATATTGTGATGAATGTGACACTGTTTCAAGGTGTATATTGTGATGAATGTGACACTGTTTCAAGGTGTATATTGTGATGAATGTGACACTGTTTCAAGGTGTATATTGTGATGAATGTGACACTGTTTCAAGGTGTATATTGTGATGAATGTGACACTGTTTCAAGGTGTATATTGTGATGAATGTGACACTGTTTCAAGGTGTATATTTTGAAAGTAAAGTTGTCTCAGTCTAGGTTGTATGTCATTTAGATTATAAATGTAAAACTACCTGAGTCTGTGTATGCAAAGTTGCCTTAGTCTGTGTTATTTGTCATCTACACTGAACCTTGCCTCAGTCTGTATTCTCTGCCATCTACATACAAAGTTGCCTGAGTCAGTGTTCCCTGACATATGATAATTCTGGTGTCTCTGGCAGATTTACAAAGACAGAACACCTGGGCAACTCTGCCAAGATCAAGTGCAGCAAATGTCACAGCTACCAGGAGTCTACTAAACAGTTGACCATGAAGAAACTGCCGATTGTTGCATGCTTTCACCTTAAGGTTTGTATGGCTATAGTCTACTAAACAGTTGACCATGAAGAAACTGCCTATTGTTGCATACTTTCACCTCAAGGTTTGTATGGCTATAGTCTACTAAACAGTTGACCATGAAGAAACTGCCTATTGTTGCATGCTTTCACCTTGAGGTTTGTATGGCTATAGTCTACTAAACAGTTGACCATGAAGAAACTGCCTATTGTTGCATACTTTCACCTCAAGATTTGTATGGCTAGTCTACTAAACAGTTGACCATGAAGAAACTGCCTATTGTTGCATGCTTTCACCTCAAGGTTTGTACGGCTAGTCTACTAAACAGTTGACCATGAAGAACTGCCTATTGTTGCATACTTTCACCTCAAGGTTTGTATGGCTAGTCTACTAAACAGTTGACCATGAAGAAACTGCCTATTGTTGCATGCTTTCACCTCAAGGTTTGTACGGCTAGTCTACTAAACAGTTGACCATGAAGAAACTGCCTATTGTTGCATACTTTCACCTCAAGGTTTGTATGGCTAGTCTACTAAACAGTTGACCATGAAGAAACTGCCTATTGTTGCATGCTTTCACCTCAAGGTTTGTACGGCTAGTCTACTAAACAGTTGACCATGAAGAAACTGCCTATTGTTGCATGCTTTCACCTCAAGGTTTGTACGGCTAGTCTACTAAACAGTTGACCATGAAGAAACTGCCTATTGTTTGCATGCTTTCACCTCAGGTTTGTATGGCTAGTCTACTAAACAGTTGACCATGAAGAAACTGCCTATTGTTGCATGCTTTCACCTCAAGGTTTGTATGGCTAGTCTACTAAACAGTTGACCTTGAAGAAACTGCCTATTGTTGCATGCTTTCACCTCAAGGTTTGTACGGCTAGTCTACTAAACAGTTGACCATGAAGAAACTGCCTATTGTTGCATGCTTTCACCTCAAGGTTTGTACGGCTAGTCTACTAAACAGGGAGAAGAAGGGTTGTAAACCATGAGGCAGACCAAGAAGACGATGCAGAGATCATGTCCAAAGAGACCTGCAAACACTTGGTGTCACCAACTTTAAAGAGAAGACCAACCAGAGAGATGAGTGAAGGCGGGTGATATCTGCAGCAATGAACCTCAAGGACTCGGAATGCTGGAAAAGAAGAAGAAGCGACACACATTACATATTGACAAAACAAGAAGACCTGTGAAAAATTATTGTGGTATTATGTCATGTATGATTCTTCTAGAGTTGTCATTGTCTTAGTTAAGAAATGTGATGCACCTGCTGTCAACACGAAGAGTTGTGTGCTTTTAGCTGCAATCATTATTTCTGTTTCCAACAGCGATTTGAGCATTCCACCGGCTACCATAAGAAGATCTCCACATTTGTGTCTTTCCCCGAGGAGCTGGACATGACCCCGTTCATGTCATCCTCTCGAACCAGCAACACTAGCTTCAGCAGCCAGGGGGCCGCCGGCACTTCCCCAAACATTTGCTGTGATAACAAGTAAGTCAAGCCTGCCTGACTTTGGTGCTTACACAAGTAGAATAGCCCAGGCAAACATGGCATTTCACCAACATGAAGATTCCGTGCAGTATCTTTGACAGTAGAGATGAACACGTGATGTTTGTCTGAAGCCAGTCCTGATGAATGAAAGTCAATCATGGACAATTGCAGACAAGTGAAATTATGTAGAAGCTGCAGACTTGTGGTTTTATAGAAGAATGGTAATGATAAGTGTAATGATTTTGGGAAAGATTAATTTACAGAGAGAACTGGTTACATGGGTCAAAAGAAGACAATCCACATTTCTTGAGCAAGGGAAAATGAATATATTTGAGGATGGGAAAGTTGGAGGTGAAAGAGACAGGGGAAGCCCAAGATAGATGTTAAACTGTTTGGTATAATGACATGGAGAAACAACAGTATCTTAACTGATTAGCAGTACACTCAAGACTGGACAGATCTGATAACCATAAGAGGTGTTTGTGGAATCAGTGCACCTGATGAAGGCTTGAAGACAACACCCATGAGAGAGTCTTGTTTGATCATGTTATGAGAAGATGGAAACTGAAACATGTTGTGACATCTGGAACAAGACAGAGGAAAACAACCTGAGAAGATCATGACATGGAGGGGTGTCAGCACACGAACTGATAGATTCTGTTAAAGACCGCAGATTGTAGAAAGGTATGATCGCTAACGCCAATCGGCAGAATATGTGATCTGATGATGAATGGATCAAGGGTAGTTGGATTGTCATGTGGAAGAGTCCCATATTTGTGAGTAAACTGATGGTTTGGTTGTAATATTAGGCTTGTCTATCATGTACAACATGTGTGCAGCACAGACCTGTACTTCAGAATGTGCACTTACACCCTTGTGACACCTCCATATGACACCAGACACCTACACCCTTATGACACCTCCATATGACACCAGACACTTACACCCTTGTGACACCTCCATATGACACCAGACACCTACACCCTTATGACACCAACATTTTTATTTCATTGTCCTATTGTGCCTTATGTCACCTAGGGTCTATTCCTCTGTTCCATTTTGTCATGAGCTGTGAGTTGAGTATCATGGACAGAACCCGGGCCAGCACCTGTTACCTCTCATCAGTGTTTGTTTTGTTGTTGTTAGCTTACCTTATTCTCTTTATTTCTAATTTTAGTGCTTATTTGATGATTTCGCTCATTTCTTCTTATGATGTCTCCAATATAGCACCATAGGCTGTGTCTTATAACTGTTGATTTAGTAGTTGCTCAGACTTTTATTGCTTCACTAGCCTTGAATTCGTCTCTTTTTATGTTCAACATTTTCCTCAGCAATTTGTTTTAAAATGCATTTAACTTTTGTTCTATGTCTTTAGCAGTTCTTTGACTGGCAAATGTTAGAATGAAAATAGGTAACTTGGTTTTAAAATCTATACAGTTTATGGTTGCATATTTTGGTCAAGCACTTTAAAGTTACTGGTGCTTTCCATTGATTTCTTTGTATTTCCTTCACTATCAACATTAACTGAATCAGTAGATTGATCTTTGACTTTCATGACTTTTGTTTTGAAGGTCACATCTGCTTTGTTTGATCTGTTGTTGGTATTGTCAGTATCCATGGAGGTGTCTTGTTATGTGCCAACATAGTGTCTGTGGTAGTACAGCTATTGCACACTGCCTACAGTGTGTTTGTCTGCTGTGTGATATCTGTTGACTACCAACATAATGTCTGTGGTAGTACAGCTATTGCACACTCCCTACAGTGTGTTTATCTGCTGTGTGATATCTGTTGACTACCAACATAATGTCTGTGGTAGAAAAGCTATTGCACACTCCCTACAGTGTGTTTATCTGCTGTGTGATATCTGTTGACTACCAACATAATGTCTGTGGTAGTAAACCTATTGCACACTCCCTACAGTGTGTTTATCTGCTGTGTGATATCTGTTGACTACCAACATAGTGTCTGTGGTAGTAAAGCTATTGCACACTCCCTACAGTGTGTTTATCTGCTGTGTGATATCTGTTGACTACCAACATAATATCTGTGGTAGTAAAGCTATTGCACACTGCCTACAGTGTTTATCTGCTGTGTGATATCTGTTGACTACCAACATAATGTCTGTGGTGGTACAGCTATTGCACACTCCCTACAGTGTGTTTGTCTGCTGTGTGATATCTGTTGACTACCAACATAATGTCTGTGGTAGAAAAGCTATTGCACACTCCCTACAGTATGTTTATCTGCTGTGTGATATCTGTTGACTACCAACATAATGTCTGTGGTGGTACAGCTATTGCACACTCCCTACAGTGTGTTTATCTGCTGTGTGATATCTGTTGACTACCAACATAATGTCTGTGGTAGTACAGCTATTGCACACTCCCTACAGTGTGTTTATCTGCTGTGTGATATCTGTTGACTACCAACATAATGTCTGTGGTGGTACACCTATTGCACACTCCCTACAGTGTGTTTATCTGCTGTGTGATATCTGTTGACTACCAACATAATGTCTGTGGTAGTACAGCTATTGCACACTCCCTACAGTGTGTTTATCTGCTGTGTGATATCTGTTGACTACCAACATAATGTCTGTGGTAGTACAGCTATTGCATACTCCCTACAGTGTGTTTATCTGCTGTGTGATATCTGTTGACTACCAACATAATGTCTGTGGTAGTACAGCTATTGCACACTCCCTACAGTGTGTTTATCTGCTGTGTGATATCTGTTGACTACCAACATAATGTCTGTGGTAGAAAAGCTATTGCACACTCCCTACAGTGTGTTTATCTGCTGTGTGATATCTGTTGACTACCAACATAATGTCTGTGGTAGTAAAGCACACTCCCTACAGTGTGTTTATCTGCTGTGTGATATCTGTTGACTACCAACATAATGTCTGTGGTAGAAAAGCTATTGCACAGTCCCTACAGTGTGTTTATCTGCTGTGTGATATCTGTTGACAGCCAACATAATGTCTGTGGTAGAAAAGCTATTGCACAGTCCCTACAGTGTGTTTATCTGCTGTGTGATATCTGTTGACTACCAACATAATGTCTGTGGTAGTACAGCTATTGCACACTGCCTACAGTGTTTGTCTGCTGTGTGATATCAATTGACAGCCAACATAATGTCTGTGGTAGTACAGCTATTGCACACTGCCTACAGTGTGTTTATCTGCTGTGTGATATCTGTTGACAGCCAACATAATGTCTGTGGTAGTACAGCTATTGCACACTGCCTACAGTGTTTGTCTGCTGTGTGATATCTGTTGACTACCAACATAATGTCTGTGGTAGTACAGCTATTGCACAGTCCCTACAGTGTGTTTATCTGCCGTGTGATATCTGTTGACAGCCAACATAATACCATGTGGACATTGACTGAACACCTGTAAGGATGAGCTAGTTATATTTAATCTAGCATCTGTTATTAATCCCATATTTCTTTACCTTTGTTGTTTACAGCAGGTACTCGCTGTTTGCCGTAGTCAACCATTACGGCACCATTGAGTCTGGGCATTACACATGCTACATCAGGTCCATCCGGGAGCAGTGGTACCGCTGTGAGGACCATCTCATCAAACGGGCAACTGCCGGAGAGGTGCTCAACAGTGAAGGGTCAGTGTTAGCCTCTCTGTTCATCTACTGTCTTCTTTTCTTGACAAGGGGATCATGTTAGTTATGCACCTCAGAGGTTTGACCTCTGTATGTGTTGCTATCTCAGTGCTTGGATGCACCTCAGAGGTTTGACCTCTGTATGTGTTGCTATCTCAGTGCTTGGATGCACCTCAGAGGTTTGACCTCTCTATGTGTTGCTATCTCAGTGCTTGGATGCACCTCAGAAGTTTGACCTCTGTATGTGTTGCTATCTCAGTGCTTGGTAAAATATCTCTTGATGGATCTTCTTAATCAGTTCTAGGTGGAGAGTCCAGAATGAAACTATACTGTTTTGAAGAAAAAAGAAAAACCAGTTGTGCTAAGACACTTTCTTGTTGAAACAAAAAAAGTTTATAGTTATCTGATGGTTAAAAAAAATAGTTGAAAGCTTGTACGCCTAAAAACTATCAATGAGTCAGATGCAAAATAACTTGTCAGTTGATTGATTGAACCCTAAAGTGTTTTTTGTACAGTTTGAACATTTTCATTCATTAAATTACAAAGATTTTGAATGTTAAAATTGTGTTCCTGTCAGCAGCCATGTGTTTCTTCTTTTTTCTTTTTTTTTGTAGTATAGTTGTCGGGCTAGTTCCGACATGCAACCAGCCAGCTCACAACAGAGACAGTCATCCAGACCCTCTGACTTCTGCTGTGAGAAACCAAGCATGTGGGGCAAGTGCAGTGAAATCCATTTGACAGCATCATAATCAGCACATTGGTCTACTTTGAGTCCCAAGGATGCTTTTGGTGAAGTGGCTGTGGCAGACACAGTGATTTCATTCGAAGCATCTGTGAGACTTAGGCTACACCAGTGTGCTGTCTTTAGAGTTGTGCTCATTACTACGCTGGCAGACATGACACAGTTTCTTATCAGCTGTCCGTACTGGTGGCAGAGCACTTATGGTTTATAACCGTGTCCACTGGTTCACCTCTCCAGACTTTACCTGGTTTTTTTTTTTTTTACTGATAAATAAATTCAAGAAGTAAAGAATCTTTCCAATAGCATTCTGAAGTCTACTTCATGATGACATTGCTCTAATCAACCAAGGAAGCAGAGTCAACTCTCATGATGACATTACTCTAATCAACCAAGGAAGCAGAGACAACTCTCATGATGACATTGCTCTAATCAACCAAGGAAGCAGAGACAACTCTCATGATGACATTGCTCTAATCAACCAAGGAAGCAGAGTCAACTCTCATGATGACATTGCTCTAATCAACCAAGGAAGCAGAGTCAACTCTCATGATGACATTGCTCTAATCAACCAAGGAAGCAGAGACAACTCTCATGATGACATTGCTCTAATCAACCAAGGAAGCAGAGACAACTCTCATGATGACATTGCTCTAATCAACCAAGGAAGCAGAGACAACTCTCATGATGACATTGCTCTAATCAACCAAGGAAGCAGAGACAACTCTCATGATGACATTGCTCTAATCAACCAAGGAAGGAGAGACAACTCTCATGATGACATTGCTCTAATCAACCAAGGAAGCAGAGACAACTCTCATGATGACATTGCTCTAATCAACCAAGGAAGCAGAGTCAACTCTCATGATGACATTGCTCTAATCAACCAAGGAAGCAGAGACAACTCTCATGATGACATTGCTCTAATCAACCAAGGAAGCAGAGTCAACTCTCATGATGACATTGCTCTAATCAACCAAGGAAGCAGAGTCAACTCTCATGATGACATTGCTCTAATCAACCAAGGAAGCAGAGACAACTCTCATGATGACATTGCTCTAATCAACCAAGGAAGGAGAGACGACTCTCATGATGACATTGCTCTAATCAACCAAGGAAGCAGAGACAACTCTCATGATGACATTGCTCTAATCAACCAAGGAAGGAGAGACAACTCTCATGATGACATTGCTCTAATCAACCAAGGAAGCAGAGACAACTCTCATGATGACATTGCTCTAATCAACCAAGGAAGGAGAGGCAACTCTCATGATGACATTGCTCTAATCAACCAAGGAAGGAGAGACAACTCTCATGATGACATTGCTCTAATCAACCAAGGAAGCAGAGACAACTCTCATGATGACATTGCTCTAATCAACCAAGGAAGGAGAGAAACTCTCATGATGACATTGCTCTAATCAACCAAGGAAGCAGAGACAACTCTCATGATGACATTGCTCTAATCAACCAAGGAAGGAGAGGCAACTCTCATGATGACATTGCTCTAATCAACCAAGGAAGCAGAGACAACTCTCATGATGACATTGCTCTAATCAACCAAGGAAGGAGAGGCAACTCTCATGATGACATTGCTCTAATCAACCAAGGAAGCAGAGACAACTCTCATGATGACATTGCTCTAATCAACCAAGGAAGGAGAGACAACTCTCATGATGACATTGCTCTAATCAACCAAGGAAGCAGAGACAACTCTCATGATGACATTGCTCTAATCAACCAAGGATGGAGAGACAACTCTCATGATGACATTGCTCTAATCAACCGAGGAAGGAGAGACAACTCTCATGATGACATTGCTCTAATCAACCAAGGAAAGAGAGACAACTCTCATGATGACATTGCTCTAATCAACCGAGGAAGCAGAGACAACTCTCATGATGACATTGCTCTAATCAACCAAGGAAGCAGAGACAACTCTCATGATGACATTGCTCTAATCAACCAAGGAAGCAGAGACAACTCTCATGATGACATTGCTCTAATCAACCAAGGAAGGAGAGACAACTCTCATGATGACATTGCTCTAATCAACCAAGGAAGCAGAGACAACTCTCATGATGACATTGCTCTAATCAACCAAGGAAGCAGAGACAACTCTCATGATGACATTGCTCTAATCAACCAAAGAAGCAGAGACAACTCTCATGATGACATTGCTCTAATCAACCAAGGAAGCAGAGACAACTCTCATGATGACATTGCTCTAATCAACCAAGGAAGCAGAGACAACTCTCATGATGACATTGCTCTAATCAACCAAGGAAGCAGAGACAACTCTCATGATTTGGAAAGGAGGATTGGCAGGGAAACAAGGACAGTACTATAGGCTAATATAACTGTGGAATGAAATGTGTGGACCCATCAAGTGTTGTCAACTCCTCACCTAAACAATTCACATGGGGGGGGGGGGGGGAGCTATACCTTTACTTACAGGAAACATCAGCTAACCCTTCCAGCTATTCTAGAGCAACTTTCCACTTCCATCATACACTGTCACTTCCATCATACACTGTCACTTCCATCATACACTGCCACTTCCAGCATACACTGCCACTTCCACCATACACTGCCACTTCCATCATACGCTGTCACTTCCACCATACACTGCCACTTCTACCATACACTGTCACTTCCACCATACACTGCCACTTCCATCATACACTGTCACTTCCACCATACACTTCCACCAAACACTGTCACTTCCACCATACACTGCCACTTCCACCATACACTGCCACTTCTACCATACACTGCCACTTCCACCATACACTGCCACTTCTACCATACACTGCCACTTCTACCATACACTGCCACTTCCATCATACACTTCCACTTATACCATACACTGCCACTTCTACCATACACTGTCACTTCCATCATACACTGCCACTTCTACCATACACTGCCACTTCCACCATACACTGTCACTTCTACCATACACTGCCACTTGCATCATACACTGTCACTTCCACCATACACTGCCACTTCTACCATACACTGCCACTTCTACCATACACTGCCACTTCTACCATACACTGCCACTTCTACCATACACTGCCACTTCCACCATACACTGCCACTTTTACCATACACTGCCACTTCTACCATACACTGCCACTTCCATCATAGTTTTCCACTTCAACCATACACTGCCACTTCCACCATACACTGCCACTTCGATCATACACTGCCACTTCCACCATACACTGCCACTTCCATCATACACTGCCACTTCCACCATACACTGTGTCACTTCCACCATACACTGCCACTTCCACCATACACTGCCACTTCGATCATACACTTCCACTTCCACCATACACTGCCACTTCCACCATACACTGCCACTTCCACCATACACTGCCACTTCCACCATACACTGCCACTTCCATCATAGTTTTCCACTTCAACCATACACTGCCACTTCCACCATACACTGCCACTTCCACCATACACTGCCACTTCCATCATACACTGCCACTTCCACCATACACTGCCACTTCCATCATACACTGCCACTTCCACCATACACTGTCACTTCTACCATACACTGCCACCATACACTGCCACTTCCACCATACACTTCCAACATACACTGCCACTTCCACCATACACTGCCACTTCCACCATACACTGCCACTTCCACCATACACTGCCACTTCCACCATACACTGCCACTTCTACCATACACTGCCACTTCCATCATACACTTCCACTTCACCATTCCATTCATACACATACACTGCCACTCTACCATACACTGCCACTTCCACCATACACTGCCACTTCACCATACACTGCCACTCTCCACCATACACTGTCACTTCCACCATACACTGCCATACACTGCCACTTCCACCATACACTGCCACTTCCACCATACACTGTCACCATACACTGCCACTTCCACCATACACTGCCACTTCCACCATACACTGCCACTTCCACCATACACTGCCACTTCCACCATACACTGCCACTTCCACCATACACTGCCACTTCCACCATACACTGCCACTTCCATCATACACTGCCACTTCCACCATACACTGCCACTTCTACCATACACTGTCACTTCTACCATACACTGCCACTTCTACCATACACTGCCACTTCTACCATACACTGCCACTTCCACCATACACTGCCACTTCCACCATACACTGCCACTTCCACCATACACTGCCACTTCCACCATACACTGCCACTTCCACCATACACTGCCACTTCCACCATACACTGCCACTTCCATCATACACTGCCACTTCCATCATACACTGCCACTTCTACCATACACTTCCACCATACACTGCCACTTCCATCATACACTGCCACTTCCACCATACACTGCCACTTCCACCATACACTGCCACTTCTACCATACACTGCCACTTCCACCATACACTGCCACTTCCATCATACACTGCCACTTCCATCATACACTGCCACTTCCATCATACACTGCCACTTCCATCATACACTGCCACTTCCATCATACACTGCCACTTCTACCATACACTGCCACTTCCATCATACACTGCCACTTCCACCATACACAAACACTTCCACCATACACTTTCATCATACACTGCCACTTCTATCATACACTGCCACTTCCATCATACACTGCCACTTCTACCACACACTTTCATCATACACTGCCACTTTCACCAAACACTTCCACCATACACTTTCATCATACACTGCCACTTCTATCATACACTGCCACTTCCATCATACACTGCCACTTCCATCATACACTGCCACTTCTACCATACACTGCCGCTTTCATCATACACTGCCACCATACACTACCACTTTCATCAAACACTTCCAACATACACTGCCACCATACACTTGACTTTGCCCATGATATTACAGGTAAGCATATTGCCATGTCAGCTGACACATATATTTTGTCATTTTCAGGTATTTGCTCTTCTATCACAAGCAGGTCTTGGAATATGAGTGATGGAACTCCAAGAACAGTGTGTGTTCTTCCTCTCCATAGTAACAGACTGTAGAAATCCTTTCTGCATGTTTCATGTTCTGATTCAGTACATTCATGAAGCCATGTGATTCTTCTATCCATGGAAGGCCAAGTGGCATCATAAAAATGGGTTCTTGGCCACTTCATATTTGTTTACCTGGCCACACTGACTGTTTATTGCTTAACATTACAGCTGCTGAGATATATCTGTGTACCGGTTTGTAAACTGCTGGCCAAACATAGAACACATTTTTAAGTTGTTTTCATTTTGAAAGTCCGTCTGGAAGACAGACACCAAAGCAATGTTTAAGTTGCCAGATGCTTTGTGGATGTTTGGTGTAAAGCTGAATAGTCTATGCTTAGTTAAAGCACAGCTGAGTTATTCATTAACAATTGCCAGGTTGGCTGGGGGGAAATCATAGTCAAATTGATAGTGCAGATTTGACTGGCAAGCTCGGTCAGAATGTGTCGATGCACCCAGCATGGCAGTCAGAATGGGTTAATGGGCTGTATGAATGACACCTCGCAGTATAAAACAAGGATTGTGGAACTCCTCACTGCTTGAATGACTTCATGATAATTTGTATTGTTGAGTTTTGTTTGCCATTCTTGTTAGCAGCTGAATTCAACTGGAAAATCTGTGCTCAACCATGAGATTCTTGACTTCCTGGTTGGAGATACTGGTTCTGAACCACATTATAGCACCGTGCCAGAGAGGGACTTTGCTGGTCATATGGGGCGAAAACATGGCAATGAACTGATTGCATGATCCCTGTAACCTAGCATATGTGAAGAGTTTGACACCCTTATAGCAATGTCTAGTTTGCATATCTTTCACACAAGTGTCCAGCTCTAGCCCTGACATGTAGATATTGTCTGACAAATGTCAGCTGTCATGACACTGGCCATGTGTAGAACAGTTGTCAGTCAGTTTGTTATGGCATACACAACTTGTGTGGGCTCACTGCCCTGACAGCTGAGTTGTAGTTACTGACAGTCCACTATCGTGTGACACAGGGATCTCTACTTGAGACTTGATAAATGATTCTTTCTTGTTTTAGGGGTAGCTGATCAGCACAGGTGCCCTCATGTTGTTAAGGAATCTACACATGGTCATTGATGTGAATGCTGTGTTGTTGTTTGTTTTAGTATCCAGAAGCCATGAGTTGATAACCCTTAGGCTCGGTATTATGGATATCGCAACCTTTCGGCCTTGATTCCATTGGAAATACCGTAAATCTGGGAGAAATGTGGCTTTTCTGCCTACCCCCGGGAGTGAACCCGGACCACAAGGAGTTCGTCACGCGGTCACCGCACAATCCGGTTTAGCCAACTACGCTAGAGAGCCGGGTGTCAATGCTGTGACCTTTGTGAGATGGCAGTGATAAGACATCAGACATGAATATTGTGCATTGTTTTCTCAATACTGGTTGGAATTTGATGATTAATTAAATAGCATGATCTCAATCTACAGTGTAGGTTGCATTCATGTTGTGACTTCTAGTTATCTAGCTTGCCCTCATCTGTATAACCTGCTAAAGTACTCTCTGAGCACATTTGAGAGTCACTTTACCGGGGTTTTATCAGTATGTTTACGAAGTGATCCTTTGTTAATACCACTTTGTTCAGAGTGGTGACTGAACCCATGTTTAAACTCCCACCTTCCATGTAGATAAACCATCCATCACCTGACCACGTTTGATGTACTATAGTTAAACACATCTGCTCACGCATTAGAAGTTGGAGTCTTACACTGGAGTCTGGTCAGGCTGTTGTTGCATTCATTGATCAATCTGTTTTGTACACAGTATTACTGTTTTTTTTTTTTAATTTAATTTTTTTTGCTTTCAGTATGGCTGTATTTTTTTGTTTATTTTTATAATTTTCAGTACGATGATAGCGTTCAGATCTCTCCCTTGAGGCAGGAATCTTTCATGACTCAGAGCTCAATCTGGCCTAATAAAATGGGTGCCAAAACATCCAGGAATGGACACAGATGGTCAACTTTAAATGCTAAATATGGACTTAAAGTGTGTTTAAAAACTTATGCTGTCACACTTGTCAACAAATATCTTGAAATTTTCTGTATGGATCCACACATTTTTTTTATGGCTTTAGATTTTGATAGCATTTTTGCCACTCACTGGAAAAACTGGCAACTCAGGGGAGACCTATGCTGTAGTTAATCACCTGAAAAACACCTATAACACACCGACAGTTTGAACAGTTCCCCTTACTTAAGTTACTGTAAGCATGTTTGCTTTGAATCCATCTGGGTTTTTTTCATCTGCTGCAAATAAAGCGGAATAGAAACTATATGTTTTAGATGTTAAAGAAATATTCTTACAAAGACATGATTATTAACAGGCCAGATTTCAACAGCTGACACCCAACGGTAACCGAGCCTCAGATTTTTACAGTTCAGCAAGACTTCTGGAACCGATTATAGCTCTATTTGTACAATGTGTGATGTACACTGTGGTGTACACAGTGTATGTGGATGACATGAAGTGGAATCCTGTACCTCGGGCCATACTGTGACGAGTCTGAACCTAGACATGGTCAACGAAATATTGTCTGTTGTTCAACTTGTATGATTCAAGACTGCCATGTTCTATGGGACCAAGCTAGCAAGGACACTGTGTTCAGTTTTGTGGGTGAGATCATCTCCATCATACCCTACTGCCACTGTTAGGACAATTGTAAACCTTTATTGCTTATGTTTATGTGTTGAATTTGCTATGTTTATCTATTGAGTTATCATTTAAAGGGTGTGACTTTACTTTTAGTCTGTAAGTTTTTTGTGTTTAATTGTTTGTGTTACATTGTCTAGCAGTTTTGGAATGTGCTGTGTGGGTGGTCAGTATCTTCATGTGAACGAGTCTAGAGATGTGAAAAAAGGTGTGAATGTTCCTTGGTTTCTTAGTTGTATGATGCTCAGTACAAGAGACTTTGTCTCTTGGCCTGTCTTGCTGAAACCTACCTCACCTCTGTGTAGTGGACCTCTGGAAGCTGGATAGGACAACTAATGAGGTCAAGGCAATATCAAGTCCCCTCACCAGCTACTGGGTTGAGTGCCTGGTGCAACACTTTACTTTCCTCTTCTACCTTGGGCTGTAGAGGTTTGCCAGAGAGATTGTCAGACATCTCTATCAGTTTTCTTTCTAGCGTTGTTCCATTCCAAACATCTGTCAGTCATGGACCGTTGGACGTTGTCTTCCCAACGGACTCCGCATCGCCCTGGAGGTCGGGTTCTTGGGTTCTTAGCCTCCAGTGCCTGCCATATTGGCAGGATTTTCTCCCATTCTGAATACATGTCCAAACCACTGTGTCTGATCCACTCCAGTTTGTAATGCCTGGGTTTCAAAATCTTAACGTATTGTCTGATTTTGAATTTTGTCCCTTCTTGTCATGTGGATCACCTCTCTCAGATACCTTATTTCTGAGGCCCGAAGTTCGCTTCTGTAAGCTGTTGTCATTGCCCATGACTCACACCCGTAGGTCAGGACTGGCACATAGGTAGAGCGTTAAAAAGCCATATTTATCCTCATGAATTTCATAGATACTGCTTATTGTCTGTATGCCTCAAGATTTTAACTACTTATTCAGGAAATGGTTGATGGCTCGTTACCACAAAAACTGGTGGTATGCCTTATACAGTAATGTGTGTGCACCTGCCAGTTTATGGTACCTGCTGCTTCTATCAACTATGAATAGTAATTCTCGTGAGCTGTAGGTCTTGGCATATCTGGTGGCTGCCTTTTGCATTAGATGTGGGTACAAGCAGTCTGATTCTGCTGGGCCTGCTGTCTGATATGGGACAGCGACGGGCATTGTGTGTAGTTGACACTGGCACAGGGATGGAGCAATAAGGTCGGGAACCCTGACTGACGATACCTTTTATTGTAGAGACTGTCAGCCTGGCATATTTCAAGTTAGATCCAGTGCGTGTCCAATTTGCTACCGGATCCCAATTAACACAGCAGGCATTGCTGCAAGTTTTGTGTGTGGGGGGAGGAAAGGGGGGGAAGCTTGACTATGACTTGTTTTATAAGTTATTCTGGTAATCTCAAGATTACATTTGGTCTCCTGTTTATATTCTGCTTCCATTTGTCAGATGATGTCATGTTTTCTAATCTTCACTACACTTGTATACATCATTGGGTACACTGATTCATCAAATCCCTGAGTGCTGTGTCTAATCATCACTACACTTGTATACATCATTGGGTACACTGATTCATCAAATCCCTGAGTGTTGTGTCTAATCATCACATGTTTTCTACTTCACTATCAGTGTGCTTTATATTTCAATCTCTATGCTGGCATGTGATTGGTTCTTATATTTGTGACAGAATGTGATTGGTTAAGTAATGTATGATACAGTGTGACCGGTTCAAAGATTGTGATGATATGATTGGTTAAGTAATGTATGATACAGTGTGACCGGTTCAAAGATGTGTGTGATGATATGTGATTGGTTAAGTAATGTATGATACAGTGTGACTGGTTCAAAGATGTGTGTGATGATATGTGATTGGTTAAGTAATGTATGATACAGTGTGACCGGTTCAAAGATGTGTGTGATGATATGTGATTGGTTAAGTAATGTATGATACAGTGTGACCAGTTCAAAGATTGTGATGATATGTGATTGGTTAAGTAATGTATGATACAGTGTGACCGGTTCAAAGATGTGTGATTGGTTAAGTAATGTATGATACAGTGTGACCGGTTCAAAGATGTGTGTGATGATATGTGATTGGTTAAGTAATGTATGATACAGTGTGACCGGTTCAAAGATGTGTGTGATGATATGTGATTGGTTAAGTAATGTATGATACAGTGTGACCGGTTCAAAGATGTGTGATATGTGATTGGTTCAAGTATTGTATGATAGTGTGACTGGTTCATATAATTGTGATGGCATGTGATCAGTTCAAGTATCCAACATGATTGGTTGAGACATCTGTGTGAAAGCT